TACTCCCTAGGACTGGGGTTCGAGGCTCTGATTTCAAGCGACCCTCTCCCAAGGCTGTGGACAGGAAACCGTTCCTCTCTTGTCCCATGAGCCTCTGCTTAGGGCTGCCTGGGTGACATGGCCCGGCTTTCCCAGAGTGAGAGTTGCAAGAGAGCAAGGAGGAGAGCAAAATGCCTTTTAGGACTGTCACTTCCTCCAGGCTAAGTAGAGTTCGTAGGCAAGGGAGGGCTTTTAGGTTCGCCCATTTCAAGAGGGAGCTTCAAAGAGTTACTGTATTTTTAAACCACCACAATTGTTGCTCAAGGTGGCCAAATTATTTTTTGCTTTTCTTTTTTTTAGCAGTACTGGGGATTGAACTCAGGGCCTCCATGCTTGCTAGGCAGGCTTTCTACCCCCTAGCCTTTTTTTATTTATTTTTTTTTGCTTTAGTTATAGTTCAGATAGGGTCTCGCTTTTTGCCAGGGATTGGTCTCGAACAGCAATCCAAATAGCTAGAATTACAGACTCACCCAATTTATTGATTGAGATGGGCTGGCCTCGAACCGTGATCCCAGCAGCTGGGATCACAGGCATGCCCCATGATGGTTGCATTTCTCTGACTTTCCTTCTCTTCTATTTTGGTTTAATAAGCTGTTGAGCTGAGTCTAATATATTTCTTCCTGTGCACTGGATGTCCATTAGGGTAAACTGAGTCCCAGGGTGGGCATAGCTGGACTCAGGTGAAAAAGGGCTAATCCTACCTGGAAATCCTACCGGGGTGGCCCTGAACCTACAGATTCCTACTCCTTAGTCTGAGTTCTCCTGGAGGAAGACTGTCTTCCTAGCAGAGTGGTGGTGGCTCACACCTGTAATCCCAACTACTCAGGAGGCAGAGATCAGGAGGATCGCGGTTCAAAGCCAGCCCTGAGCAAACAGTTCAAGAGACCCTATCTTGAAACAACCCATCACAAGAAAAGGGCTGGTGGAGTGGCTCAAGTTTAGTGCCTGCCGAGCAAGCGTGAGGCCCTGAGTTCAAATCCCAGTGCCTCCAAAGGAAAAGAAGAAGGAGGAAGAGGAGAAGAAGGAAAGCCCTCTGGGCTTCCCCTGTCTGTCTTCCTAGGTTTTCTCTCCTGGTCCCACCAAGATGGGTGACTGAGGTCCCATGCAGCAGCCACCAGCTGTGACAAAACTCTGGCCACAGCACCTGTAAAATTTTCTACATCATTGGAGCAGAGACCACCTTCTTCTCGGGGAGTCCCCAGCCAATGCCCAGACACACTGGGTCCCTAAGGCCTGGCTCTTTCTGCCACACTGGGACTCATCTGTGGGAAATCTTTGCTCTGGAGCCCTTGCCAGCTGGGGTGGGAGACTTCTCAGCCATCCTCCTTTCCTTCGCCCCTCTTCCCACAGATGTCAAGGCTGAGGCATGGCCGGAAGGCGTTCCCTGCCCTGTCCTCCTTCCTGTCCTTTCATCCTTCCCTGGGATTTTTTTCCCTGGGAATAAGTCTCTAACTCTGTCTTGGTGGCAGTTTCCTGGGGGATTCAGCTGACACCAGGCTGTGGCCTTTCTGGGCCTGCCAGACCCCTTTCTCCCAGGGAGTGAGGGGGAGTCCCCTAGCCTCCCCCATTGCCCTGGGGATGCTCAGTCCTTCCTGCTTCTCTCATAAGCTGTCCCCAGGGTGTCACCCTGTGCCTGGCCCCCAGGAAACTCAGCCACTACACAGCGAGCTCTGAGGCTCTGGCCCACTTCCCAGCATGGAGAGCGCAGAGAACCTTCCAGGTAAGGCTGGACGGAGGGAGGACACCCTTCAGCGAGAGAGAGGACGGCCCTAGGGTGGGCAGTACCTCTCTCGGGTTCTACGGAGGTGTCCCCACCTGCCAGGGGAAGTCACAGCTGGTGTCTCTCCTGATTGACTGGGTGACACCCAGTCACTCCTCTCCTTGGGCCTCCATGTCATCTCCCTGCCTGGGGCCAGGCTGGGGTTTGTGAGCCTTGAGTGAGGTCACACCCAGGGCTCACTGGGTGGGGGACTGGGGTCATTGTGTGTGTGGGAGGGGGGCAAACAGAAAGAGAGAACAGGAGAGAGGAAGAGAGAGAGAGAAATTTAGAAAGTTCTGGGCTGGGGTGGGGTGGAGCTCAGAAAGAGGGAGGAAAGCAGGAAGAGAAGGAAATGGAGGGTTGGTGAAAACTCAAGAGAGAAAGAGAGAGAGAGAGAGAGACAGAAAGAGAGAGAGGAGAGAGAGAGAGAGAGAGAGAAGGAAGGAAGGAAGGAGGGAGGGACAAAGAAAGGAAGAGAAAGGAAAAAGAAATGGGGCAGAGAGCCAGGGAGAGAGAGAACTAAGTTCTCCCACAGGTCCTGCCCCTCCCTCCATGTGCCAGCCCCACCCCAAGTGTGTGGGGACACTCAGAGCAAAGCATGGCCCTTTTCCTTCCAGCCCAGCCCTTCCTGTCCTGCTGGTTCCGCCCCTTGTCCCTCTGAGGGGCACCCAGTGGGAGACAGTAGGCAAAGTACCTGCAGGCTGGCTGATGTGGCACCCAGGTGCAGCGTGGATGGAAAACCCAGTGACACCCTCCCTGCAGGCCTGAGCAGGCCCCAGCCTGCCTCCCTTTGGGGCGTAGACAGGAAGAGCCCTCAAAGGTCAACCCCACTGTACCTCTCACTGCACAGAGGAGGAAACTGAGGCCCAGAGAGGGGCAGGGACAAGTCTGAAGTTGCACAGACAGGCAGTGGACCAGTCACTAGTCACTAGTCGCTGCACAGATAGAACTGGTAAAAATACTGCAGATACTGTCGCCTGAAAAGCCTGGGGACTTACTTTCTCCGGATTTAGCCTGGTTTCTTCCCAGAAGTGTCCTGAGGCGGTAGTGACAGGGCTCTGGATGTCAGGTGCCTTGCTAAGCCTTACCTGACATCCTGTGAAGCGCCTGTCACACAGAAGTGGAAACTAAGGCTCAGAGAGGTTGACTTCTAAACCCGGGGTCACACAGTGGCAGAACAGAAGCTGGGTCCATCTGACCTCCGAAGCGGGGTTCCTGCTATGACACCTCCCACCCGGCAGGAAAGATGTCTGAGATATGGAAGGGATAGGGGGTGCAGAGGTGGATGGCACGCTTCCTATGATGGCAGAAAGTACTAGAATGACAGATTGTTTTATTTTTTACTTTGGGCAGTACTGAGGATCGAACCCAGGTCCCACGTGTTAGTGTTAGGCAGGTGTTCTAACACTTGGGCCATGGCCCAGCTTTGTTTTATATATATATAAATATATATATATACATATATATATATATGTATATAATATATACATATTTTTTTGTTTGCCGTACTGGGGTTTGAACTCAGGGCCTACACCTTGAGTCACTCCACCAGCCCTTTTTCTTTCTTTCTTTTTTTTTTTTTGTGATGGGTTTTTTTGAGATAGGGTCTCTTGAACCATTGGCCCAGGCTGGCTTCGAACCACGATCCTCCTGCTCTCTGCCTCCTGAGTAGCTGGGATTACAGGCGTGAGGCACAGCTCCCAGCATTGTATTTTTGCTTTTGAGATACGGTCTTGCTAACTTTGTCCAGGCTAGCTCCAAACTCTAGATCCTCCTGCATCCTGAGCAGCATACGCCACCATGCCTGGCATTTTTTTTTGTCAGAATTCTTCCCAGAGGGATACAATTTGGTTCACTTATGTCCTGCTGCGGGGAGCCCCGGGTGTTCTCCAGCCCCCCCCAAACCACTTGCTCTTCTCTACACCCCCTTTCTCAACCTCTGGAGAGTAGGACTTTGGCGCCTGAGCTATGTCCATCCTTTTGTCATTGTCCCCTTTGGGCCCCAGGGCCTATCCACCCTGCAACCTCTGTCCCCCGTCCACTGCACACTGACTTCCCCCTCCCCAGCTCTGCCCCTGGCTCTTCCTCTTCCTCCTGGACGGAGATTAAGGGAATGTTGGGGGAGCAGTGAGCTGCCAGGCAGAAAGACAGACAGACAGACAAATCACTGACGCAGCCAGCCCTGATTCCCAGCCAAGCCCTGAAGACCTGCTCTCCTAGCCTCTGACCCCTCCCCAGGTGGGGCCCATGTGTCACCCAAGGTTTTCCCAATCTTATGAGCCTCGGTTTCTTCATCTGTATTATGGGTGTGAGCACCCAGCTTTGCCAGAGGGTTGAATGACACATTGGCTTGAGGATATGGGAACTGGTGCTGGGTATAGCCCCTTCCTGACGGAGAAGACCCCTGGCTCTTGGGGGACAAGGTGGTCGCAGTCCGGGGATAGAGTTGGCTGCAGACCTAGACCCCTGGGCCACTCTTTGCTACCTTAGGGGCCCTAGTTCCTTCAAATCCCCATCATCAGCCCTGCTCTGTGCTGTCAAGTCCTGGCTCTCCCCTGTCCCTAAGACCTGGAGGGTTGTCACTGGGCGTATCCGTGCTTGGAGTCCAGGAAGCGGGGGAGGGGAGACCTGGGTCGCTGTCTCCTAGTTGAGCCAAGAATTTTTCTACGAGCCAGGACCAGAACCTGAGCTTGGGGACAGGTCTCCCCTTTCCCAGAAGCCTTGGGAACTCCCGGGGTGGCGGCCCCAGAGCCCTAGCCCTGCCCTGGTCTCCTTCATCCAGGACCTTGATCCATGGTCTCCTTTCAATCTGATGGAGTCGGGTGTAGCAGCCACCACTGGGTTGGGAGGACAAGGACAATTTAGGAGGAGGCACATCCTCCAAGCCCCCCCACCCCAACCTCAATAGCTCAGGGCCTTGGCTCTCACAGTCCCCATCCAGGCGGGGCTGTGGCAGTAGGTGACTGGATGGTGCTGAGAGAGCAGGGTGAGTGGAGGCGTGGGCCCCACAAAGTGCATCCCTCAGCCAATCAGCAGCCTGGATTCGGTTACAAGCCCAAAGATCACCCCATACTTCTGCCTCCTTCCTCCTCCTCCTGCAGCTCCATTCATTGGCGGCCACTCTGGCCTGCTGGGCAGAGCCAGGCTGCCTCGTGGGCAGGCAGCCAGGGGGCTTTGTTTGACAGGGCTGGGCTAGGGCAGAATGGGGGTCCTGGCAGTGTTCCTGGGGGTGCTGGCCTGCCTCTGGGTAGCTCCAGGGGCCTCCCCCACCCACTACTGGGACAGCACCTCCTGCCACTTGGCTAGGGTCATCCCTGGCAGCCATCTGGGGTCTCTGATCTTCCTAAGCAAGGATGACCAGGGCCTGGCTCTGTTCCACGCCCACTGGGACGCACGTGGCAGGCTGCAAGTGTGCAGCCGGCAGGATGAGCCAGAGCTCACTGCAGCCTTTGCTGACCTCTGTGCTCGTGAGCCCACCCGGGGGGCCTTCATCCACAGCCCCGGGCCGGAGCTGCAGGCAGCACTGGCCACCCTGGGGAGTCAGTGGGAGAGCTGTCGAGGGTCCGAGGAGAGTCCTGCAGGGGCCAGGGAGAAGCGAGCAGCAGGACAGAGAGGAACGGCTGGCAGGGGACACCTGCGAAGGAAGAGAGGCTGGACCATGCCTGGCACGCTGTGGTGTGGCCTTGGGGACTCGGCCGCGAACTCCTCGGAGCTGGGTGAGCCACTGGGGTGTGGGTGGGCGTCTGATGGGGGAAGTGCAGGATACAGTCCTGGACCCCATTCTCTCAGGCTGTGTGTCCTTAGGGGAGTGACTTAGCCATTCGGAACCTCGATTTCCTTGTCTGTAAAACGGTGGTGACTATGACTCTTAACCATGGGACGCTTAGATGAAATCATGGATCAAACCTAGGATTCCACATTAGTCACCATCTGAGGGAGGCTGGGATGGATCCAGGGTCTGCTGAGCCAAAAAGCCACTACCCAAGCGGAGGCTTCAGTAGAACGGTGCTGTGACTCAAAGTGCTGTGTTCAAATCCCACCTCAGCACTTTCATGCCGAGGAAGTCACTTTCCTTCTCCGAACCCGTTTCCTCACCTGCAGTTGTCATTGGGGGTAGGGTCTCCCTAACTAGCCCTGGCTGGCTTTGAGTTCACCATCTTCCTACCTTGGCCTCCCTGGTGCTGGGATTACAGGTGTGTGCCACCACGCCCAGCTTCCTCGCCTGTAAAATGAAGGTGACACTCCCTGGCAGGACGGTTGAGTTTGGGTGTGGAAAGTGCCAGGCACATGGGAACTGCCCAGTCAAGGCTTGGACTGCAGTGAGTCGCTGTCCGCGTGTCTGCACGGAGGGTGGGGAGAGGGTTGGGAACCTGAGTGGGACAGGCTGCCACCCAACTCCTCTTTGTGCTAGTGAGAAAGGTGGCACCCTGCCTCTTCGTCATTCTGTTACACAATCCTCACTTTGGAGTTTTATTTGGGAACTCTAGGGATAGACTGCAATCCCCCCAAGAAAGACAATCTCATGTGCTCACGGGTGGATTGATGTGCACCCAAAAGGGAACGCAGCTGGGCGTTCTCTGTAAGCTTTTTTTTTTTTTTGGTAGGACTGGGATTTGAACTCAGGACTTGTGCGCTTGCAAAACAGGCAATCTACTGCTTGAGCCACACCTCCAGTCCATTTTGCTCTGGTTATTTTTAGAGATGGGGGGGGGTCTCGTGAACTATGTGCCCAGGCTGACCCCAAAATGCGATCCTCCCGATCTCAGCCTCCCAAGTAGCTGGGATTACAGGCGTAAGCTTTGAAATTGTGAGGGTCTCATGGGAGAATGCCTTGCCCAAGGCTACCCAGGGAGGATGGGGGGGCGTTGCATCAGGACTGGGGTCAGGATCAGGCGGGCGTAGGTGGCATATGGTGCCTGGGACACTGCTGAGCTGCTGCTCCTTTCCCTCTGCCCACGCAGGTCTCTTCCAGGGCCCCGATCTCTGCTGTCGCGAACATGACCGCTGTCCCCAGACCATCTCGCCCTTGCAGTACAATTATGGCATCCGGAACTTCCGCTTCCACACCATCTCCCACTGTGACTGTGATGCCAGGTTGGTGGCCGGCAGGGAGGGCCTGGGGCCGAGGGACAGGACAGAGTTACCCAGTTCCAGAGTGTAGGATCCCAGAGATTCCCTGGAGATCAGCAGCGAGCTGAGTCCCCAGAGAAGGAACTCTTGGAGCTCCAAATGCTGGCCGGGTGGCAGATGGCCTGCAGGAGGAGCCAGGAGGCCCCTGTGGTGCAGGGACCTGAATGTCAGCCCTGGGGCAGGTTCCAGCAGTGTCTAAGGAACCAGCAGGACTCCATCTCGGACGTCGTGGGGGTGGCCTTCTTCAACGTGCTGGAGGTCCCCTGTTTTGTGCTGAAGGAGCAGGAGGCGTGTGTGGCGTGGTACTGGTGGGGCGGGTACGTGGATGTCCCCTTGGGTCCCTTCCTAGCCAGTTCCTTCCTTGGGGTAAATCTGAGCCCGACCCTGGTGAGGGAGGGCTGTCTGTCTGTCTGTCCTCAGGGAATGAGGTCCTCCTTTCTTTAGGTCGGGGTCCAGGGCCTAATTAAACCCTTCTTGGGTGCCTCCTATAACCCTGTGGGATGGGGATAGGACTGGCAGAGACTTTGTCTCTGTGGGGACAAACCTGGGGGTCTCTGGGAGCAGGGAGTTCAGATCACCAAATGCCTCCAACTGCCACCTTCCAGGTGTAAGACGTACGGCCCAGTCGCCCTCGCCCACCTCCAGCCCAGGACCCTCTACAACGCCTCTTGGAATTCCCTGCCCACCTCCTGGACCCCCAGTCCCCAGAGCCCAGCCCCCAGAAAACAGCGACACAAGCAGCGCCCTCAGAAGAAGTGGCCACAGCATAAAGGGTCCAGGCACCCCAACAGAGCCAACGCTACAGCCCCCCGGAAAGCACGGGATGGCCTAAAACCTCAGAGTAAGCTCAGAACCTAACTTTGGGGGGGTCCTAATGTGGGGGGGTGGCCCTACCCCCGTGTGCACGGAGGGAGTTGCCCCTTTCCCTGCTCCATACGTTTCCTGGGGTCTCCCCACCCTTTCCCATCAAATCCTTCCCTCCGTAATCCACAAATCGACTGTGTCACTCGCGCTCCACTGAGCCTGTCCCCCTGCCATCATGGCTTCTTTGTATCTCAACTGACAAAGTCCCAACACCCAGAGGCTCTCAGGCCTCTCCGGTCTCACAAAGTTCATTTGGTTTCTCAAATGCAGCCTGCATTTGTTGGGGGGGTGCAACTTCTGCCTACAATAAGCACATCTAAGAACAAAAGCAAGGCCAAGAATGGTGGTGCAGCCCTGTAATCCCAGCTACTCGGGAGGCAGAGGTAGGAGCATCGTCGTCCCTGGCTAGCCTGGGCAAAAGTACAAGACTCTAGAAAAAACACGAAATGAAACAAATTAAAGTAAAAAAGGGCTAGAGGTGTGGCTCAGATGAGGTACTCTGTTCAACCCCTAGTACCTCAGAAAACAAAATAGCAAGCACAGCTTGCTCTCTGTCACCTCTGGGCCTTTGCACACGCTGTGCTGCCTGAAGCCCATTTCCTCTTCTCTTCCTCTCGCAGTCTCAGATTAGCAGTCTCTGCCTCCAGGAAGCCTTCCCTGATTGCTCTCACGGTGGCACTATTTATATGTGTGTGTATGTGTGTCTCGTATGGGTGACACTCAGATGCACAAAGGACAGGAGACAGAGCGTGACAGAGCACATGTACTGGTGGTGTTTTCCCTGGATGGATGGGGCCTCCCCGGTTGGACCTGGCTCCCCTTACTACCACCCCCTCCCTCACCCCCAGGTGCCCACCGGGCCTGCCGCGGCTTCCTCCACCTGGACCACTGTGAGCACCGGATCCAGCCCCAGGAAACCAAGTTCCAGCTGCTCAGTGGCGCCCGGGAGCCCCTCTTCCACTGCAATTGCACACGCCGGTGAGGCCAGCTGGGCCCCGTGGGGGTGGGCGGCCTGCTGCCGGGCGCTGGGAAGGGACACCTGGCTGGTGACATCCTGCCCCAGCCTGAGCCTGCCTCTGCCCTCAGTCTGGCGCGCTTCCTGAGGCTGCACGGCCCAGCCGTGGGCACCATGCTTGGGGAACGGCTCGGCACGATCTGTTTCAAGCTGGCCACTCCACTGCACTGTGCTGAGGTCAAAGGGTAAGTGACAGCGGAGCCAGGAGGGGTGGGGGGCTTTCCCTAGGGCCAGGTTGCCTAGAGGTACCCCAGTTGTGTGCCTGGACCAAGGGAGTGGGAAAAGGGTCAGGGGATCCCTAAGTCCCATTGTGATCGTTGTCCTGATCCATCCCCCAGGTCCTGTTCTGCACCTGGCCTGGGGAGCTGCATCCTGGCCCTGTCGTTTAGTTCCTGGGTGTCCCAGACGACTTGAAACTTTCCAAGTCTCTGTTTCCTTGTCTGTAAAACAGTTGGAGGAAAGTCGGGTGTGGCGGTGCACGTCTATAATCCCAGCTACTCTGCAGGCAGAGATCAGGAGGATCGTGGTTCAAAACCAGCCCGGGAGGGGAAAAAAAAGTTAGTGAGACCTCATCTCAATCAACAAACTGGGCACGGTGGTGTATGCCTTTCATCCCAGCTAGAAGGAAAGCTGTAGGTAGGAAGATTGCAGCCTGAGGCTGGCTCCATGCAGAAATAAAAACCCTACCTAAAAAGTGATGGCGCCATGGCTTAAGTGGTAGGAGTTCTGCTTAGGAAGTACAAGGCCCTGAGTGTCCACTCCAATACCCCTTCCCCCCCAAATAAGCCCCCCAAATGCTGCAGGGACCAAAGGCATGTGTGTTACGGTCACAGCTCGAGACCACCCGCACATCGCGCTTGGGTTCTGAGTGTCAAAGCCAGCTCCGTAGTAATTCCCATTTGACAGATGAGGAAACTGAGGCCTCGGTGTCTGGCTCGGGCTTCCACAGTCAGCTAGTAGCAGAACCCAGGGCTCTGGATAGCAGCCCAGGTTTATTCTGCCTTCTGATAATTTTTTTTTTTTTTTTTTTTTTTTGGTGGGACTGGGGTTTGAACTCAGGACTTTGTGTTTGCAAAGCAAGCACTGTACCCCTTGAGCCACACCTCCAGGCCATTTTGCTCTGCTTATTTTGGAGATGGCTGGCCTCGAACCTCCATCCTCCTGATCTCAGCCTCCCAAGTAGCTGGGATTACAGGCGTGAGCCAATGGCGCCCAGCATATTCTGTCCCCTTCTGGGTGTAATCCTACCCTTCCTACCTTGCTGGCGACCATGACCCCATCCCTGCTCCGCTCTGGGCCTCGCTCTCCCTTTCTGCAGAGTAGGGTGGTCTTCTGCTACCCCTGACCACTGTCCCCTCTGTGCTCTTCCCGCAGCTGTTCCAGTGACCCTAGGGCCATCAAGGTGTCAGCTCGGCACCTGCGGCAACTTCGGCAGAGACGACTGCAACTCTGGGATAAAGACACAGGCGAGGGGCAGGTGTGGCCTTCGGAGTCCCCAGGGACCCCCAAGTCATTCTATAACCAGTGCCTGCAGCTAGCTGAGGCAGCCCAGAGACCCAAAGGACAGCAAAAATTCAGGAGCTAGCAGGCTCGGTGACAGCCTGGTCCCCAGAAGCCTCGGCTTCGGGTCTATGGTTTATACTGCAGTGTGCCAGCCGGGAGGCCAGGTGGCCACCTGCAGTGCTGGACCTTGTCTCCTGCTGTGCTGTGGCACAACCTCTCTGAGCCCGGGTGTGGCGCTGTGGCAGCCTCGGGAGGTACCAGAAGTCGAGGTCCATGCTGTAAATTAACACGAGTCCCCGGGAACCTGGCTGTGGGGCCTGGGGTAGCAGGCGGGAAATGAGGGGTGTCCCAGAAGTGTCTGCATCTGAATCCAGGATGGAGGGAGGACAGTGAGAAGGACTCCCCGACACCCTCCTCCCTTTTAATAGCTGCTGTGCCCGTTCCTTTTACCCTAAACCTACATTCAAACCCCATCTGTGCTCTGGGGCAGGGATTTCCCTCCCCCGTACTGAGTCTCGGTTTCCTCCTCTGAAAAAGGGAGCTGTGGGCAAGAGCTACCTCGTAGTGCTGCTAAGGACTAAGTGACTTGATGTACATGGACTGAAAATGTAACACGCAGGGCTGAGGGCCCAGTAAACACCACCTCTCTCTCACACACACCCGAAGTGTTGTTCTCTGGTGTCTGATCTCGAGCCGTTGGCCTGACTTCTTAGAGGCCTCAGTGGTGCTCATCTGGGAAATGGGTCCAGCTGAAAGGAGATGACAGCTAATCCCGCACGCTAACGAGTCAGGAAGGAGCCAGAAGTGAAGCTGGAGAATTTAATTCCAGGACTGGACGTCTGCCAGAGCTCCCCTTCTCATCCCGGATTGGGGGGCCCCGGCTGGACTTTGCCGATTGTCACAGTTGAGGTGCCAGGACTGAGTTTTGGGGGACCATCAGTTGGCCACCCCTGATGTGGGAGCAGCAGGAGAGAGGCAGGCTGGTTTGTGACCTTCGTCCTCAGGGCCCGGGTGACCTCCCTCCAGCCCCTGCCGGCCCTGGGGACTGGGAGACAGGCTGTTGGGGTTGGTGGGTCCCCAAGAGCCACCACCACCGGGGTCCACAGACTCCAGGCGAAGGGCTGGCAGCAGGCCCAGACTTCGAGGCACAGCTGGTGGGAAAACCCAGGGGCCAGGCGGCCCCAAAGGTGCTTCCTCACTGCTGCCCCGGCTGCCGTCACCACTGCCCCTACTGGGGGCCACCCGGGGCAGCCGGCGACCCTGGGGCGAGGGGCTGCGGCTGGCACCACGGCATTCACGGGATGAGGGCCGGAGGGCCAGCCCAGGGAAACGGGCCAGGCCTGGGCTGCGACTACGGTGTCGCTTGGACTTCCCAGGACTGGGACTGCGGGACTTGGGTGCCAGAAGCTCAAGGGTGCTGTCATCCTCCCCGTCCGAGCTGGTCCCCGAGCTGTCGGCGGTGCTGCTGGCCGACTCCGAGGTAGGCAGCAAGATCTGGGGTGAAGACAGGGTGCAGTGGGGGGACCCTGCTTCACCCTCCCTCTTGGCAGACCTTGGGAGGTGGAGCTGCTGAGGTCACAGATGTGACAGTGATGACCTTGACGTGGGGCTCAGGCCTGGGTACCTGGAATGGTTCGGTGACACCGATGAGGATGCTATGGTGATGGCTGTAATAACCCAGGATGAAGACCCCATGGTCCTTGGGCAGAGACTCCTCACTGAAGGTCACCTGGTGGGCACAGGGGCTCGGGTCAGGTGGCTCCCAAGCCGAGTCCTGAGGTCCCCAGGGCAGTGAGGAATTACCTGGTAGACACTCCCAGTCACATCTTCATGTTTGGCCCAGACATAAGCCACATAGTCCTTGCAGTGACGAAAGCCTACCTAGAGCGACAGCAATCACGGCTGTGACCCCTCACACCGAGGGCCGGATCCCGGCAGCCTCTTTGTGACCCTTGAGGCCCAGCTGCTCCTCCAGGCCCCTTTGTCCCCCGAGTCACGCCCCACCCCTGCCCTTCTCACCCGGTACAAGCCGATCCAGTCCCACGAGCTGCGGGCGAACACGGTCTCTATGCGGTACCTCACCACGGCCTGCTCGGGTCGCAGCCACTCGTCTGCCACCTCCAGCCGCACCAGAGGCACGTCGTCCCTGAAGGCAAACTGCCCACGCAAAGCAGGGACAGGAGGGGACGTTAGGAAAGACCCCCTCTAACATGCCATGCACCCAGGACTGAAGTCAGGGCACATCAACTGAGATGTCTACTTCACAGACTGGGAAACTGAGGCAGAACAGGTCTAGGATAAATGTCAAACATCCTGCTTGCCAACTCAGGGTTCCTTCTGCCCAGATCCTCTTTACAGGCTAAGTGCAATTCGGCTTTTTAATTTTTTTTTTTTTTGCCAGTACTGAGATTTGAACTCAGAGCCTTGCACTTGCTAGGCAGGTGCTCTACCACTCGAGCCACGCCCCCAGCCCTTTTTACTTTGGTTATTTTTCAGATAGGGTCTCTCGCTTTTGCCAGGGGCCAGCCTCATATAGTGATCCTTCTAATTCCTCCTCTCTAGTAGCTGAGACTACAGGCATGCACCACCGTGCCCAGCCCTGTCTGGAATTCAGCTTTGAAGTGATCCAATCCTATATATGGTCATTGTCAGGCTCTTATCCAACACATGAGTCACTGAGACACCATTTGTAAAGCATTCACAGCTTCCCAGACTAACAACAGGTGCTCAATCAATGATTTGCCTATATCCTAAAAGGGAGACAGGTAAAGTCCCACATCCGGGTATTCTGGGGTACGCTGAGCATAACTGGGCAGACGAGGAGAGCCCTAGGTGAGCGGCTGGAGATCTTACTTCATTTGTCACTAACTTGCTGTGTGACCTCAGGCAAGGCCCTACCATCCTGAGACTCAGTTTCCCCACCGAGTCTTAAGTACTAAGGGCCCATTACTGACAGGCCATGAACTATCTGCCCCCTGGGAACAGCCAGGTCAGAGGTGGGGGTAAGCGGGGAGGCCATCCGAATGGTGGTGTTTCTGCCTGGGGTGGCAGGCAGCCAGGGTTTTGGCCACCTGTGTCCCTAAGGGAAGGGCTCAGGTGGTGCCAGCTCAGGCCTTTGTCTGCTCCCTGTTGAGCTGGTTTCAGGTTTTCTTCTCTCGGCTTCTGAGCCAAGTTGTTCCAGAAGAAACTGGAACATTCTCTCCCTGCCTCTGGACTCCTTGCAGAACGGCTGCTTGAAATGTCCTCCAGGGCCTTGCAAGGTCAAAACACTCAACCACATTTTGACTGTGTTGCCTCGGGTAAGGAAATTAAATTCTCTGAGCCTTGGTTTCCCTCCCAGGAAAACAGGAAGGAGACACTAGGGTACCAGTGGCTTGAGCCTCTAATCCTGGCTACTTGGAGGCTGAGATCAGGAGGATAGAGGTTAGAGGCCAGCTTGAGCAAATAGTTTGTGAGACTCCTTCTACAAAACAACCAGAACAAAATGGACTGGAGGTGTGGCTCAAGAGCAAAACTCTGAGTTCAAACTCCAGTGCCACCAACGAGGAGCAAACAAACAAAAAACAGGAAGAACTGGACAGCTGAGTCCCAAGATTTTCAGAGAGGGGGCATAGGTAAAGTGCCTGAGATACAGTTGGTGCTCAATAGGCAATGATGCTTTTGTTATTTTTTGAGATGGGGTCTCACTGTGTAGTCCAGGCTGGCCTCAAACTCATGGTCCTCTTGCCTCAGCCTCCTGAGTGCTGGGATTACAGGTGTGCACCACCAGGCCCAGCTCATGGGAAGATTTAAAATTATTGTTGTTTTATTAATTTCTCTTTTTGTGGTCCTGGGGATTGAGCCCAGGGCCTTGCACCTGCTAGGGAAACACTGTACCATCGAGCTGGAACCTCAGCTCCAGGTAACAGCATTTCAGGGACAGTGTCCTGGACAAGGCAAGAAGGTCAAGGTGAGGCACCCAAAGTAGTAATTTTCAGGGTGAGGTTCCCGGTTGAGTGCCAAAACTCATGCCAGGCCCTTTACCAAAGGTCACAGGAGGTCAGGCACAGGCAGATCTGCATTCCCAGCTGCGGACATTGGCCAGTTTCCCACCGATGGGTCATGTGACAAAGTTGCCAGGGAAAACATTCTCTGGCCTACACAGCTCCTTATCAGATCCAGAGACGCAGAGAACCCCGAGCTCGGTTTCAGGGTGGAAAGATGGGACCTAGCCTGCTCTGCTTCTCTCACGGAGCCCTGCTGTGCCGTGGGCCCCAGATGCCTCCTGAGAAAAACAGTAAGTTAACACTTCATGGTCTTTCGCTTCTAGTTCTGATAGTCTAGGACTAGCCCTTTTTACTCTGGCAACCAGGAAACTCAATCTGAAATACACAGTCATCTCTCAGCAATGTACCAAAATCCAGATACGTAAGTCCCTCATATAAAGGGGTTTGTAATATGTGCATATAAACATGTAATCTTCCTGTGCATGTTAAATCATTGCTAGACTACTTATGACAATTCTTTATATGCAAATAATTGTTACACCGTATCATTTAAGGGAAAAATGACCAAAAAAGTCTAAAACTGTTTACTACTTTTTTTCTGATTTTTTTTTTTTTTTTTTTTTTTTTTAGCTGTACTGGGGTTTGAGCTCAGGGAGTTTGCTAGGCAGGTGCTCTTACCACTCGAGCCACTCCCCAACTCAGAACCTACACCTTGAGTCACTCCACCAGCCCCTTTTCGTGATGGGTTTTTTCAAGATAGGGTCTCGTAAACTATTTGCCCAGGCTGGCTTTGAACCGCAATCCTCCTGATCTCTGGGATTACGGGCGTGCACCACTGGTGCCTGGCCCTCTGAATATATTTTTTAATCTGTAGTTGATTGAATTCCTACATACAGAACATGGTGGCCTGGAGGGTTAACTGTTCTAAACTCACAGAGCCTGTTTCAAGTTTGGGTTTGTATTTTTAACCTCTCTGTAATGAGCGACACGTGGGGTTTTGACTCTGCTGGTCTTGCTATACATGAATTTTAATATAAGTGGCCCTAAGCTTTTCTGAGAAGAGAGACAGTCAGAAATTAGTGGAAAAGACATGGAGTCTGCAATCAGATTGGCTTAGATTCAAATCCTAACCTTTCCTCTTCATAGCTGTGTGGCCCTGGGCAAGTGATGCGGTGTCTCTGAGCCTCACCCGCCTCCTCGTCTGAAATACGGCTGAGGACAGGTGCAGACAGTTACTGGGGAACAGCAGGATGCTCAGAGGGGCCAGAAGATGTCATAAGGGAAGGATGAGGTCAGGACTCACCTGCAGGACAAACTGGGCGGCCACCGGCTTGTGGTCACTGACTGTGTATTCCATGTGGCTGCAGTAGCTGTGCTGGGTCACTTGTAGCCGGTGGCTCTCCCGACCAGAGGGGCTGGGACCTCCACCTGGAGCTTTCACCTTCCATAAGATGCGATCCGTCCAGGCTGGCTTCCGCTTCTTGGCACTGCAATGGGTGCAGTAGCCTAGTTTCAGGGGTTGGGGTGTGAGGTCAAGGCACAGCCCCTCCTCCCCCTGCCTCCCCCTTGCCTCTGGCTCCTCTCCCTACAGTCTCCCTTTTCCAGAATACTTCAACCCACATCCCCACCCCATCCCAGGCCTCACCTGGTATCGTATTTGTTGGTACCGACATCAAACTTGAAGGTGGGTGCGAAGTTCAGCGGCCCCTCCTGGAAACCCTTCAAGGTGGGCCAGGTATTCTTTGCCATATTGAGCTGTGGGAATCCAGAAGTGGACAACAGCTTGGGTTTTCCAGAATCCAGAGATGAGATGGGGCAGGTGAGGACAAGGACCATAGCTTTGAGGTACAAGTGCGTCTGTGTGCTGGGGTGGGGGCTGGGGAGAGGCTGGGGTTTGGGACTAGACTTTCCCCACCTGGTCCTTTTCCCAGAGCTGATGTAGCTGGCCACTGTCGATGGCGAACTTGACAAAGTGAAGATCATAGCTCTCAATGCGGAAGTTCAGATCGCCAAACCAGAACACAAGGCTGTTCATGGGTGGGGGGCAGTGGGTCGGTCCATGGGGTGCAAGGGATCAATCCAGATCCTTCCTGAACCCCCCCACCCCCACCCCCACCCCCACCCCACATCCAACCCGGTGACACTGGCGCTTTTAGAGATGTTGGGTGGCACCAGAGCCTTCAGCCAGCCAAGGAGCAGAGGGGAGTGTGTACAGGGTGGGGGGCGGGTCTGGAGGACATGAGTTTGGGGGTGGAACCCCCTCCGCAAGGCCACGCCCCTCTCACTGAGAGCCCCGCCCCCGCCCCGCCCCTACTCGTGATCCAGGATGCCTTGTGCGCCGGGTCCCTGGAATTGCTGGAGGCTCAGGATGGTTTGAAAGTTGTCCTTGCGCTGCTCGGCTTGTCCATGTGCGCGGGCAGGTGACAGTTCAGGAAGCAGAGCATGTGCCCGAAGGTCGCCAGGCGCACGCTCACTCCGCCCTTGTTACCCTAAGGTGGCAGGACGGGACAGGTGACTGGCAGGTGGGATACGTGGCAGGGCGGGACAGGTCACGGGCGGAAGATCATCCCTGGGCGGGATGGACAGGGGTGCGTCCTAGGGAAAGTGCCTGAACCCTGGATGGAAAGGGCGGGGAGAGGACGGGGCGTGGCCTGCGCCGGGGGGCGTGGCCGTGGGCGGTGCTTGGGGAGGGGCAGGCTGCAAGGGGTAAAGGGTGCAGTGTGCGTGCGGAGGGGACCTTGCAGGTGCATGGGGGACCGCGGAACGTCTCAAGGGCCACCTGTGGGTCGCATTCCCTCCCGGGGCGCTCCCACGCTCACCCAGTAGCCACCCAGGCCGGTGCGCGTGCAATCGGTCTGCACGTCCCGCAGGAAGGGCAGGTGGTAGTACTTGGCGAACAGCAGAAGGATAACGCCTTGCATCCTCACTGTACTCACCTGCAAGGGCAGGTGACACGGTGCGGGGCGGGGACACAACACATTTGCCTCTCCTGGCCCTTTCCTTTTAGGGGTGCTGGAACTTGAACTTGAACCTGGCGCGATCCCTAGGCCACTGCACGACCCTCCCCCACAAGTCCACTTCCTCTGGTCCCTTAAGGTCTGCTCCTTCATTCTCCTATTTCACAGGCCACCAGTGAGACCCACTGTCCCCTCATGGGGAGTCAGGGCAGAGCTGGGGCCAGGAATCTGGCTCCAGCTTGTGGGAAGGGTGAGAGAGGTCATTACCAGCACGAAATTGAAGGGCCCCAGAGCGTCCATGAAGAGCTCGCTCCACTGGTCGGTGAAGAGAGCATCCTTGAGCCGTTTGTTGATCATGGAGTTCACTTCCTGCAACCTGGGGAGGGGGACGAGGCTGTCATCATATTGGAAGGACATCTGCCATGGGTGAGGGTTCTGGAGGCCCCAGGGGCTTAGGAAGGGGTCCACCCGCCCTGCCTCTCACCCTATGGCGATCATGTCTGCATCGTCACTGTTATCGCCACCTCCAAGGTGGAGGAGGGATGTGACATCGTCAGGGGGCATGGCAGTCCCCACATTCCATGTAACCACAGTGATCCTGGGAACAGAGGTACAGGAGGTAAATCCCGGTGCTGGGTACCACTTCCTCACCCTCCCACAGAGCTCACTGATAAACTGAGGCAGGGTGGGTGTAAGTCCTTAGGAAGATGGGTGGTGGGCTCAACCTCCCACCTACCAGACTCCCTGAGGAGATAGACTGAGGAAGGAGCCAGTTCCCTTCATCAGTTACAATTCATCACCACCCCGGAAGAGCGGCTAGTCTCCAGGCTCAAACCCCAATGACCGAGAGACCCTCACCGGAATCCGGGGTCACTCTTGCAGGTAGGTTGAGCTGACCAAGAGGAGGAGGATGAGGAAGATGTAGGAGGAGAGATGGGGACTGGAGCATCTCGGGCCTGAAGGTTAGGGCTTAGGCTCCTGCCAGGTCCTGTAGGCCCTGTACCCGGGTTGCCAGGCCCTGCACCTTGGGTGGCAGACCCTGGACTCTGGGTGGCAGGCCTGACGAGGGCCACTTCAGGGGCCGGGGATACACAGGAAGAGCGGTTGGGGGAGCGGCTGGGGGAGCGGCTGGGAGACCGGGGTGGCTTGGGCAGAGGTGGGGGTACAGTTTGGCCTGAGGGGGTCCCTGGCCGGAAGGTAGGAGACAAAAGTCCAAGGGAGCGGGTGCCAGGCTCTGGAAGACCAGAGCCCACCTCCAAGGGCAGGGTCTGAGGTGGCCGTGGCAAGACAGGATCCTCAGGTCTGTTACAGGGGGCTTCAGGCCGGGCTCGAAAGGAAGAGGAAAACTGAGGGTCAGGGGAGGTTTGGATCAAGGATGGGGGACTCATAGGACCAGGTGCCTGAGCTGGAGGCTGGAGACACCCTTCGGCAGTGGGGAGAAGGCCGGGGGCTAGGGTGTCTCTCTGTCTAGCTGGTGTCTGTCCCATAGAAGCCGGGGCTGATGTCGTGAATGCTAGAGCCAGGGTCTGCTCCTGAGAGGGTGACAGAACTGGACTGGACACTGGGGAAAGACTGGAGGGGGACTGGAGGGGATGCTCCTGAGAGGCCAGAGCCAGACTCAGGCCTGAGGCTGCCAGCGCTGGCTTAGATCCTATGGAGGTGGGTGACAACTGATTCTGGTCCCTGGAAGTTGGAGACAGACTGGGCCCCAGGGCGGCTGGGGGAGGCCTTGGCACAGCCGAGGCAGACATGACCAGCTGACCCACGGAGGTTGGAGCCAGGCTGGAACTGTGCTGGGCAGGAGTTCTCTTCTGTCCTCCGGGGGTAGACGGTGGAGTCAGGATGGGTCGGGGAGATGATAGAGCCAGCTCTGGATCATCTGAGGGAGGTGACATAGCTGCTCTTGGCCCCACGGGTGACAGAGCAAACCTTGGTTCTGACGGTCTTGGGGCTGTGTTCTTTGCTGGAGGCTGAAAATTTGAGTCCACCTTGAAGAGGGCAAGTCAATGACTCAGAGTGACCCTAACTAGGGGGGTGGAACCTCGACTCCCACATGGACTCCAGCACAGACCCCATCTAGCTGAGAAAGGCACATCTTTACCAAGAGAGTTCTTCCTATTATCTAACTCAAACCATTCTGCTGCAGGTCAGTTTCTTTCTTGGAGGAAAAAGGACAGAAAACCCTGTCCTCTCCACTACAAACTACATCCCAAACTCCTTGCCCCGCTCTGTCATCAACTCCCTGCATCCAGAGGCAAGAACTGCTGGGCACCAGTGGCTCACGCCTGTAATTCCAGCTACTAGGGAGCCTGAGGTAGGGAGGATCGAGGCTTGAGGCCAGACTGGGCAAAAAGTTCCTGAGACCCCCCCATCTCCAAAATAACCAGAGCAAAGAGGACTGGAGGTGTGGCTCAAGCAGTAGAGCATCTGCTTTGCAAGAGCAAAGCCCTGAGTTCAAATCTCAGTCCCACGAAAAAAGAAAAAGGGCGCAGAAGCAAGATTTGGGGAATGAGGCTGGCCATGTAGATTCCCAGCCCAGTGCTGTGTAACTCTAGGCAAGCACCTCTCTCTGCCCAGGGCCTCAGTTTCCCTGTCTGTAGAACAAAAGGGCTGGGAGAAGGGTCCTTGATCACACCATGTCCTGAGGTATCATTTATTCGAATTCCACAGAGCGCTGTGCAATCAGTCCACCCCCGCCAAGTGTCACAGCTCTCTGTGTCCGGGCTGTGCTCTCTTACCCCACCACCCTCTCCCCCACCTGTGAGGACAGCAAGCAGGTCCCTTTTATGTCTGGCAAGCCGGGCCAGCAGCAGAAAATCTTCAGGGATCTGCTTCCCCACCCCATCCATCCTGTATCATGAAGCCAGGATAAAGTGTCTTTTGGCAGGGAGGACAGAAGAAGGTTTATATTCACCCTAGGGTGGACCATCCGTGCCTCCAGAGATGCAGCTCTGTCTCTGCCCCATGTCCTTCTCGGTTCAGAGAACCTGAAACTCCACCTTCCTGCCCCAAACTCAGTTCTTTGAGACTGCATTCTGGACAACCTCCTGGGCTCCAAGTGTCTCACTGTGTGTGTCCCCTCCTCCCCAAGCACCACACCGCCTCCAGAACTAACAACTTAAGACATCCCAGATGTCACAGTTCTAGTCTTCAGACACAAACCCCCTCATTTTGCATTGGCTCAGAAAACACAAGCAACTTGCCCAAGGTCACACAGCAAAGCCAGAGAACAACTGACGCCCCATGCAGGGCTCTTCAGGGCTCTTCTGGGGACTCTTGGAGATGGCTGACTCCATCTCTCTCTCTGGGCATCCCATCACTGCCCCTTAACCCCCAGGATGACCTCCTGTTTGTCCCTGCTTGGTGGGTATAGGGGAGTGCCAGCTCTTTAGCCAGGGGCACCAGGGTGCCTGCAGTGTGTGTGGGGGTGTGAGAGCAGGGATCAGAAATAGAGGGCCAGGTTTGAAGGGGTCTTACCTTGGAGGACATCCCAGTTTTAGAAACCACATGGGGTGCAGGTGAGGGGCCCAGGCCAGCCCGGGTCCCTGGTCTCCTGCTGCCACCGCTGCTCTGGCCCTCCATGTCTGCAGCCCCCAGCAGCCCGGCTCCCTTGGGCTCCAGCTCCAGCAACTCAGCTCCCGGGAACCAGTGATGTCACCAGCCGTTTCAACCTGCTGAGAATTTAAAGGTACAGGCACAATTCTCAGCCAGGAGGTGGCCAGGACGAGGTGGCTTGCCCTATGGGAGCCCTTCTAGTTGCTGCTGGGGCTGGAATAGCCAAGGAGAGGGAGGAGTGTCCATCAGCCTAGCCCAGGTCCTAACTGGAGAAGGTCCTCTGTCTGTTCCCACCCTCTATCCAGGAAGCCTGGCCAGCCCTGGCTTCAGGGAGGGGCACAGATACACCTGCCGATAAGATAGGGACAGGTGGTTCTGAGGTCAGAGCCCTCTCCAGGGCCTCAGAGACACCTGAGTCCCTGCTCTGATCCACTGACCTTCCTGACTCCAAGCTAGCTCGGGCTTTGCTTTGGCCCCCACCCTTGCCCCATTTTCAGGTCTTGCTGTCACCCCCTCCATTTCCTCCCCCCTTCCACCTCCTGCCTGGCTCCATTCTTCCCATTCCAGAAGCAGACAGCCAGGCTCCAGCCACTCTCCCATCTTAGCCTCAGCAGCAGCTCCTTCTCTTCTGCGGACACCTCTCTGCCCTCAGATGTCCCCACACCAGGCCTGTATCACCCCCCCCCCCAGCTTTCCTCTGTCCAGCACTCACTGGGTGTGGTTTGGGAGGCCACTTGCTCAAGGTCACCTGGGGAACTAGGACAATCTGAGTTTCAGGGAAGGAAACTCAGTGATCCAAGTTAGGCAGGAGGTAAATTGGAGGTGTGGGGGAAGGAAGTGGGGTGGAGAAGAGTCCAGTACTGGGGGGAACAGACTTGGCAGGAAGGTCAAGGTGAGAGCTGCAGGGGCCCAGTCTGCAACAGGCCTAGAGGAATGTCTGCTGATTGAACAAATGAATGAATGAATGAATGTGTTAGAAGTGTGAGTGAGTGATGAGAGTCAGACCTGGACACGGATGCCTGTGGGCTGTTTCTGCCTCCAGCCCCTGAAATCCAATAACTAGATTGCTTAATTCAGTTCGGATAGAAAATGGTCAGACTTCTGGACCTCTGCGTCTTCTTTGGGATCCCCCATGTGAAGGTCACGTGGACAGATGCCTCCTGCTCCTCTCCTGCCTCCTCGGGACTGTCTCTGGGTCTAGTTTGCATTTCCCAGCTAGCGTCTTTGTGAGACTGAACATTCCAGGGACAAAGACTCAGGCCAGGCCCAGCACTGGTGGCTCACGCCTATAATCCTAGCTACTTTTGAGGCTGAAGTTGAGGATTGAGGTCCAAGGCCAGTCTGGGCAAATAGTTCTCGTGACCCCATCTCCAAAATAACCAGAGCAAAATGGACTGGAGGTGACGCTCGAGCGGTAGGGCACCTGCCTAGCAGTATGAAGCCCTGAGTTCAAATCCCAGTTCCAGCCCCCAAGAAAAAAGACTCAGATCGTATTAGGGTCATATTAGAGTGCTGGGGTAGACAGGTCTTTGGACGGTGATGGTGGAGATTGTGATGGGGGTGTCTAGTCATGGGTGTGAGGTCGGTGATGACAGAAGTGGGGGTACTGACACTGATGTGATCCAGGTGGAGAGGTAGCGTGGGAAAAGTGGGAGGAGATGCTGATGGCGGGGTGGGGGTGACAACAAAGGCACAGGGGATGGTGGAGGTAGTGGCCTGAAGGTAGAGTGACGCCTGGTGGCCAGGGGCCTGGTGGAAGAGGTGGGGGTGGAGTTGGCCGTGAAGGTGGGGGTGGCAGTAAGTGACAATGTGAGAGTGGACTTGATGGTGGTGCTCAGATCACCAGAGAGGGAAGGAAAATTTGAACGGCCCGGTCCTCTGACTCCCTTTATACGAATGAGGAAACAGGCACCCAAGGGTGCCAGCTCCTGATGCAACCCTGTGAAACCTCTGGGACCAATCCTAGGCTGGAACCGGGACAGCAATGCTCTTTGAAAGCCACGCAAATGTCGTGCAAATGAGCGTGCAGAGGGCTCCTGGGCCCCAGGGGGACAGCGGAGAATTTCTCAGCATCTTTGTTCCTGACCTCTGACCTGCAGTGGGGGACTTTAATTCTGGCCCTGCCACTGCCACTTACCTGGAGAGGTCACTGAGATGCCTAATTTGCATAAGGGAGATAAAAAATTGGTAAATATCTCCTCCGTTTGCTGGGAAAACTAAGCAAGATGATGCATATGAGGTGCTTGGCATAGAGGTGGTACAAGCAAAGACAGCTTTCAGTGCTGTCACCACCATTGTCACCATCGTCACCATCACCGTCATCATCCACCCATTTGGTGGATGCTGAAACTGAGGCCTGGAGTGGTTGTGTTCCGGGAAGGGGAAGGGGGTGGCATGGGGAGGGCCCCTGCTGAGAGCACAGCGGGTGGGAGCTATATTTGTGCTCTTGCTGTGATGACTAAGGAGGTTGATAACAGGATCTTGGTCTCAGGGCGGCAGGCTGGGGGCAGCTGCCAGGGAGAACCGCCCCCCTGGAGACGGCTGCTGTCTCTGGAGGCCCCCTCCTGGCTCCCTCCCTCCGCTCACTCTGCAGGGTGGGAGTGAGGATGCAAGGAGGCAGAGGGTACTTGGTCACCCAGGCCTTTCCCCGGGTGCTCCTCAGACTGTTCAGGTCAGTGACACTTTGCACAGTTCCTCTGTGAGCCTGGTCACAAGTCTTCCGTTGGATACAGGAAGAAAGGTGGCCCAGTAGAGCACAAAGCATGGATGCTGTTTTGAGGGAGCTAGTGGGAAAATTCTCCCCCCACAGAAGGGGTGACCCTAGAACCCCAGCTTAGGGGGACAATCCAGGAGGCCCTGGGAGTCAGAGAGAATGGCAGATGTCAAGTGCTGGGGTGTGCATTGTTCTGGCTGAGAAAGGATGCAAAATTTGGCCCTGTGCCCTCCCAGCCTTTTGGCTCCAACTCAACCCATCCTGAGCTGGGAAGGGAGAGAAATTTCCTTTTTCCTTCCTCACTCCTGCCAGGGGCACCTGAGATGGTGATGTTACAGCAAGCTCTGCTTCCTTTTCTTTCCCTGGTCACCCCGGTCTACCATGAAGGTCATGCCCTGAGAAATGTCCAGAAAATGTATAGAGCGTGTCATCCTGTTACATGACAGGATGAATGGAAAAGAGCACACACACACAAAAAAGCATTTCTTTCAAGACCTCACACGGAGGTTTCAAGTGCCATATGTTGTGTCACCGGCCCCTTTCCCACCCTCTGGGGCAGGCAGTCATCCTCGCCTGCCGTGCTCCCACTCTGGAGCTGTGACTTTCCCAAGGTCACACAGCTGGGGCTGAGCTCAGGCCTCTGTCCTCCCTCTCCTCAGCTCCCCCTCCTCCTAGGCAGCCCAGCACCCGCTGTCAGCTGCTCTGAACTGAGTGGCTATTTTTATTCTGGTGCAAGGGGACCTCAAGCAGCAGAGCCATGTAGGTTAGAAGATGCTAACAGGCAAGGGGATGCTTGCTGTGGGTACCTGCTGCTAAGCTGGCCTGGGGACTCTCATTTCTTATAGACTGACCTCTCCTGGGCTTCCATGTCTCCAAAAACTTCTCCATTGGACCCCAGAACACAGCAGAGAGCTAGAATAAGCCCTGATCCCACTTCCAGCTTGAACCCTAATCTTGTTATTGACTGAGCCTTGATCTCATGTCAAGACTGAGCCTCTTCTCCAGCTGTAGACTGGGCTCTGATCATCACCTTAGAATTGAACCTGGACTCTAATCACATACTGAACCCTGATCTAAGCCTAATGAAAGACTGATACAAACTTGAGATCTTGATTCTGGACTCAAACTAAGCCCTGATCCTAGCCTAAGACTGAGCCCTAATCACAGACTGATCTCTAACCCCAGTTCAGATTAATGCTTATTTTAGATTGACCCCTGGCTCTGGTGGAAGATTAACTCTGATCTTGGTCACAAACTGAGCCCTGAGTTTAATCATTTACTAAACCCTGAACTCAGGCTGATTTCTGACTCTGAGCCATGCAAATTCTGCTTATTCTAGTCATACCCTGAGCCCTGACCTTAAACCCTGAATCCGATCAAAATCTGAGCCCTGAACTTAAGTCATTGACTGAGCCATGACTCTGGTCACACACTGAGCTTTAATCCTTGTCACAGATTGAAGACTAAGTGCAATCATTGCCTCAGCCCTGACTCCATGCTGCTCGAACTCATTTCTAAATCCTCTGATTTTTGTTTTGTTTGTTTGTTCAATTGTTTTCAGACCTGGTTTCGCTATGTAGCCTAAGCTGGCCTCAAACTTGTGATCCTCCTGCCTGAGTGCTAGAAATGCAAGTACTTGTCATTGGCTCTTGCAAACTGACCTGCTTTTTCTTTTCTTTTTTTTTTTTGGTGGGACTAAGGATTTGAATTCAGGGCTTTGCACTTGCAAAGCAGGAGCTCTACCTCTTGAGCCTCACCTCCAGTCCATTTTGCTCTGGTTATTTTGGAGATGAGGTCTCAAGACCTATTTGCCCATGCTGGCCTTAAGCCGTGATCTTCCCGATCTCAGCCTCCCCAGTAGCTGGGATTACAGGTGTGAGCCACCATGCCTGGCTTCTTCACAGACTAACTCCCAGTCCTAGCCCCACCTAAGGAAGGTTGCTGGCCGAGAAAACATGCTGCTCACTAAGGGCATACGGATTAAGAGCAGAGATCTGTCCTGGGAGGTCTTGGGCCTACCAGGCTGCTGATGACAGAACGTTCCTGATACTGTTCTGCCCACTGTCTCCATGGCTGTTCCACTGGCTGGCTGGTCAGCCCTCAGCAGCCCAAGCGATGGTCCCTACAGGCCACAGTGTCCAGGTTAATGCAATGAGAGTGGTTTGGTGGCCTCTGTCCAGCAAACAACAAGGGACCCCGGGGTATAAACCACAGGCTCTGTGAGGCACTGGGGGGTCCTTGCTGGGATATATAGGGGTTTGGGTAGGGGGAACCGATTGCATATGTTCCATTGTTTTGTAAACGAGGTTTATTATTTGTGCATAGCTAATATCTACTTTTTGTAGAAAATACAGAGACTGTGTAAAGGAGAAAAATAATTCACCAATTATCTCATGCAGCAAGAGATGGCCATTTTTACTTTGTGGATTTTTTTTTCCTTTTAGCTTTCTTTGGGGGTGGAAAGATTGAACTCATCAGGACCTTGACCTTGCTAGGCGGGGGCTCTATCACTTGAGCCCCACCCCCAGCCCCTATTGCTTTAGTTATTTTTCAGAGAAGGGCTCATGTTTTTGCTGTATCCTGCTGCCTGGCTGGGATTACAGACATACACCACCATGCCTTGGCTTAAACCTGCTTTCAGCAGGGAGGTCATGCTAACTCTTTTTGCCCAGGCTGGCCTCGAACTGAGATTCTTCTCGTCTTCACATCCTGAGAAGTTGGGAATTACAGGTGTGAGACCCCAGACTCGGCCGCCCACCTCCTTTTTTAACAGGAACTGGAACATGATTGGCTCTGCCCGTGCCCTGGCTACGGCTTCAATTGAGGAATGGGCTTCAGTTGGTGAAGGAGACGACCAATATTGTGCCACATGGCTTCGACATGGGGGGACTGGTGAGATAAAGGAGATGTTTGCTGGGGATTTGGAAAAGAAAACATTTTTTTCTCCTGACAAGTTTGCAAAAAAAAAAAAAGACTACCCTTCTATTAGACATGGCTGAGGATGCCTGTGACTTCATTAGCTACCTACGATCTTCATTCAGCCATTTTTTTTGGGTGGGGCTGGGATTTGAACTCAGGACTTCACCCTTGTAGAGCAGGTGCTCTACCACTGGAGGCACACCCCCAGTCTATTTTGCTTGGGTTATTTTGGAGCTGGGATCCTGTGAACTATTTGCCCAGGTTGTCCTCAAATTGCAGTCATCCTGATCTCAGCCTCCCAAGTAGCTGGGATTACAGGCGTGAGCCACCGGTGCCTGACTCATTCAGTCAATCCTGACAGGGGGTCGATCATATGGGTCAGCCGACGCTATGAAAAGTAGAATGGAGGGAGACCAGGTTTTGGTTACTAAATTACTGGATCAAACGTTACTTGACAGTCACAGTCTATTGGGATTTTAAGAAATTATTTGCAAGGCTGGTGGAGTGGCTCAGGTGGTGGAGTGGCTCAGGTGGTGGAGTGCTTGCCTGCCTAGCAAGCAAGTGGCGTTTAGTTTAACCCCCAGTACTGCCAAAGTACTGCCAAAAACAAAACGAAAAGAAATTATTTGAGCCAGCAGATTGCCTTGAGCAAGTGTGTGATTTGCAGTACAAAGCATCACAATTCCCAACTGACGTTACATTGCTGTTTTATCACCTTGTTCTTTTTCTGGTAGCATTGGGATTTGAACTCAAGGCTTCACGCTTGCAAAGCTAGCATTTTACTGCTTGAGCCACACCTCCAGTCCATTCTGCTCGGGTTAATTAGGAAATGGGGGATCTCATGAATTATTTTCCTGGGCTGGTTTTGAACCTTGACCCTTCCAAATCTCAGCCTCTGGAGCAGTTAGGATTACAGGTGTGAGCTACTGGTGCCCAGCTGCAAAATCCAATTTTTTTTTGTAGCGGTACTGGGACTTGAACTCAGGGCCTCACACTTGCTAGGCAGGCACTCTACCACTTGAGCCACTCTGCCAGTCCTAAAATCCAATTTTTGATATACATTTTTTTAATGGAGGAAGATGTCCAGGAAGGCAACAACACTTGTGATCTATGAGAATCACAGTGCAGCCTTGGCTCGGTGTCGAGAAGGATTCTGTAGATTTATTGGGTTTGAAGTTTCTTTTTCTTTTGATTTCTTTTTATTCTTGGCAGCACTGGGGTTTGAACTCAGAGCCTTGCACTTGCTAGGCAGGTGCTCTACCACTTGAGTCACTCTGCCAGCCCTGCAGATTTATTGGGAAACAGCACAGAGAACTCCTATCTGCCAGGGATTGGCTCTAGGACCCAATTTATAAAATGGCTGCGTGTGTCCTCCCAGGTACCTTAAACCACCTCTAGGTAACTTATAATAAACGCTATGTAGACAGCTCTTATACTATATTGGTTGGAAAAAGGACAAGAAAAAAGTGCACGTGTTCCGTACATATGCAGATTTTATTCTCTAAATATTTTCAACTTGATCTTGGTTGAATCTACAGTTGTGACAAAGAGCTGCCTATTTCTTGTGTCTTCCCTGATGGAGTCAGATAACAAGATTTAGTTATCTTTGGTCTGGGGAGATGAGCACGGGAATGTTTTGAACTTCACAACTTAATCTATTTCACCTTTTTTTTTTGAGGGGGCGAGCATAGAGCTGAGGTTTGAACGCAGGGCTTTGTGCTTGCAAAGCAGGTGCTCTGTTTGAGACACACACAAACTTCCTTTGGTGGGGAGAGATGGAGTCTTGCAAACCATTTGTCAGGGCTGGCCTCCATTCAAGATCCTCCTGATCTCAGCCTCCCAAGTAGCTAGGATTACAGGAGTGAGCCCCCAGCGTCCAGGTCTGTTTCATCTTTCTGAGCCTGTGTTTTCATCTGCAAAAAGGAGTTCATGGGGCTTTGATGAGTGAGTTGATAAGGAGTTTTATGTATATTATTAACTTTCTTTAGCAAAGCTTTATTCAATACTTTTATTATAATTATTCATTTTTAAATTTATTAGCCTGTTATAAATTGTACTGGGAGTACACTGTGACATTTACAAAAGTGCTTCCAGTACATCTTGGTTAGATTTATCCCCTCCATCTTTTTCCTTTCTCCTCCCTCCTCCCCCCGACTTTCACTATTAATTTTTATTTCCCCTCCCCCCCCACAGAATAGGTCATCTTCCTGTCACCACCATGTGGGGGATGGAAATCTTGATCGCAATTGCATCCAAACACGTGAAATGTACAAACAAGGATCTCCCAGGCTTCAGTTTCCCTGTCTTAGAAAGTTCTGACCCAGACACCTTGGTGTCCATCTGCGTCCCGCCTGCACCCCCTGGTGGCGTGAGGTGACGCTGCCCGGTCACATCCTGTGGGAGGATTCACTCCCTCAGTCGGCAGGAGCAGGGACATTTTGGGGACCCGGAAAGTAAAGGTGCGAGGATCAGCGAGAAGCTGGGTCAGCACACGTGGAGCTGGCGGGAGGGGGGCGTGGCTTATTGAGGGGCGTGGTCTTTGGTGGGCGTGGTCCGCGGCGGTGGGGCGGGGCTTCCGGCAGGGGCGGGGCCAGCCTGCGGGCCCAGACGTGGCGCAGCGGCCGGGGCGGTTTCGCCTCCAGCTTGCGGATCATCCTCTGCCGGGTACCGATGAGCCTCCTGCTGCTGCCGCCGCCACTGCTGCTGCTTCTCGCAGCAATTGTGGCTCCAGCCACTGCCGCCACCACCTACCGGCCTGACTGGAACCGACTTCAAGGCCTGGCCCGGGCTCGGGTGGAGGTGAGAGCTCCCACGCCAACCTCACCCCTCCCCCACCCTGCCCCCCCCACCCCCGGGCCCCCGTACTTTGGGCCTCTGCAGCATCAGACCCTTATATGGCCCAGAAACACCCCGATCCCCGAATCCCCTTCCTTCCCTCTCCGATGAATCCCGCACCATCCTTCCCGCTGCCCCCAGCTCATGATGCTCTGGCTCCAGTGAGCAAGTCCGAGACACCGACATTGCGGCCTGGCACCCCGAACCCTTGCTTTGCTCCCCATCTGGTCAGACAGCAGGCCCCTGGACACCTTGATCCCCTAACTCTTCTCCAGTCTACATGCTCCCAAACTTGCCCTGGGGAGTCCAACCTGCCTTCCCCATCTCTCCACTTTTTCCTGGAATTCCGGTTCTGGAGTCTCTCTTCCTTCTCCTGGGGGAGGGAAGACTTTCTGGGAGCCTACTGTCACAGTCCAGGAGCCAGAGAAAGGAACTGGGAACTTGGTTACCAACACTTAGTTCACAGCAATCCCCGACTCTCCCCAGGCAGGAAATTGCCCTCCTAAGCCTGTCTTGTGAAGTGACTTGGACCATCACAGCCTCTCTCTGGGCCTTAGGGTTTTGTTTTTTTTTTTTCTTCAATACTGGGATTTGAACTCAGGACTTGCACCTTGAACCACTTCACTAGCCCTTTTTTTGTGACTTTTTTTTCTTGAGATATGGTCTCATAAACTTCCCCCCTGCCCACCGGCTGGCTTCAAACCTCCATCCTCCTGTTCTCTGCCTCTCAAGTAGCTAGGATTACAGGCGTGAGCCACTGGTGCCTAACTTGGGCTTTAGTTTTCTGAGAAGAGAGGGTAGAATAAAGGAGGCCTGGAGAGGTTGGCTGGTCCTGGGGTGCTCTCAGGGAATGTCAGGAGGGACCCTGCCATCCTCCCAAGTGAGGGAAGCAGGCAGATGGTCTGTAGGACTGGGGTGCAGGTGGCTGGCAAAGCCAGCCAGCTCTCCATGGGGTTGGGCAGGGACCAGATGGCAGGTGCCTTTAATGGGGGACCCCATCTGGAGTAGTACTGCGCTGTTTTCTTCTGGTCTGCCTTATCCCCTGAGGTTTCAGGATCCAAAGACCTGGCCTAGGTCTCTATTACCTGAAAGTAGCAAAGCCATCATGTCTGTCTCCTGGGCATAGGGAGTCAACCATAAATAGGGTGTTCAGGCAGGAGCCCCAGGGCTGACAAGCTCCCTGTGGGTCTCTGCCCTTGGACCTCTTTTCCCAGGTGTCTCTAGTCCTGAGTTTTCCCACCTGTACCCAGTATCTCCTGCCCGCAAGGGACTCTACCTCTTTCACACCTTGGGACCTGCTCTTCCAGGGATAATGCACAGCCTCACTCAACTCAGGGATGAGGTCTTGGGAGTGTGGTTGGGGTCAGATGTGACAGACCCCTGATTTACCCCTTTTATTCCCCCCCCCCCAGACCTGTGGAGGATGACAGCTAAACCGCCTGAAGGAGGTGAGTTTGAAGGAGGGATCCTTGGCTCTTCCCCCCACACCTCTTAAGGAGTGGGCAACTTGTTTTCAGTGATGACAGGCTGGGGGTCAGGAGCCTGGGCCTAACTTGCTGTATGACCTTAGTGGCTCTCTGTGGAAGGGTCATTTTTTTCTGATGTTCTGATTCCTCCCCAGGTGAAGGCCTTCGTCACTCAGGACATCCCACTCTAGTATCCTTCTGTTCTGGGGATGGGAAGATGGGGAGGGTACCTGAAGAATTTCCTTCCCCTTAACTGTGAAAAGATGGCACATGAAGCCGGGCGCTGGTGGCTCACGCCTATAATCTGGGCTACCCAAGAGGCAGAGATCAGGAGGATTATGGTTCAAAGCCATCCCTGGACAATATCTCGAAAAAAACCCATCACACAAAAAAAGGGCTGGTGGAGTGGCTCAAGGCATAGGCCCTGAGTTCAAGCCCCAGAGTTCAAGCACATGGTTTTCCTCTGACAAGTAGAACTGATTACTGTGGACTGTCCAGAGGAGTCCGAGGTGGTGTCCAAACTGGGGAGGCGAGAGAGACTGACTAATAGAAAGGCCTTTTGGTTATTTAGAACCCAGGGCACAGAATATGCACTCAGCAAAGGAGGCATTGCTTTCCCATCAGAAGCCCCCCGAGTCCCCCACCCCCTTCTGCCCACCGTCACCCCCCTTAACGCCCCCCTGCAGCCACAACCTGGTGATGAAACACCTCCCTGGGGCCGACCCCGAGCTCGTGCTGTTGGACCGGCGCTATGAGGAACTGGAGGTGAGGCGGCCTTGGGAGGCGGGCCGGGGGCGGGGCTAGGGGCGGGGCCCGCCGCGCTGACCACGCCCCCTCGCCGCAGCGCATCCCGCTTAGCGCGATGACCCGCGATGAGATCAACGCGCTGGTGCAGGAGCTCGGCTTCTACCGCAAGGTGGCGCCCGACGCGCGGGTGCCCCCCGAATACCTGTGGGCGCCCGCCAAGCCCCCCGAGGCGGCTTCGGACCGCGCGGACCTGTAGATCCGGAGCCTCGGCGAGCTGGGGCGAACCTGCCTGAGCCCCGGAGACCGAATGACGCGCTCAGCATCCCGGGACTCCTCCCTTGCTGAGGGCCGACGCCGGGTCCCCGAGCCAGCAGGAATGGGATGGGGGGGGTGTCCTCCCTGCCACCCTCCACCCTTATTCCCCTCCCCCAGCTCCACTAAATCCTTCCGCCTTCACCGAGGCTCCCCTCCTTCTTTGCTGCGGGAAGCCGGACACCCCCGGAGACCTCGCATCCCTGGCTGCAGGAGTTGGGGACCTTCCTGGGGCAATCAAAAGAGGCAGAGAGGAGTCAAGATCGTTGAAAACCAATAATTTATCAAAAGGCTGCGTGTGGGGGCGGGGAGGGTGTCGCGACGACGCGGCAGCGGTGGGCGCGCAGGAGGCTGACGGTGCCGGGGTGGCGGCGGCGGCCGGCGGCGTGGGCGGTGCGGGGCGGCGGGCTAGACGTTCTTGCCGCGCAGGCGCAGCTCGTGGCGCCGCAGGTGGTTGTAGAGCGACTGCACGTAGGTGAAGACGCACTTGGGGTCTGGCTTCTTGCCCATGACCATCATGTCCTCCACCTCCACCAGGGGTACGCAGTCCACCAGCATCCTGCGGGGAAGGGGCGGAGTGGGGATTGTCAGCGGCAGCCCCCCTCTTGCGGCGCCCCTGTACCCCGAGATCTTTGCATCGCGATATCGTCCACCCTGCTCAGCGATTGCAGGGAAAGCCTTCCAGCAAGGCAGGACGGCCCGGCCCCAGTAGCCCAAGCCTGGGGCAGGCAGTGGAGGAGCCTGGGGTGGGGGAACAGAGCTGTGTCCCGCCAATCGGGCAGGCTCTGGGGCTGACCCTCCGCCCGGGGAAGGTCCTGGCTTTAGTCCCAGCCCACGTTCTTTCTGCAGGGCTGTCTCCTGCTCACCCTGGCTGGCACACACCAGTTGGTAGTGGCCTCTCAGCTGGGCCAGCGCACCCCATGGCCAGAGTCAGGGCTCAGCCCACCAGCTCCTGCCCCTGTTCCTCTGGGCCCCTGAACATTATCTGCCTGACCTGGTACTTCCTGCCGGGAGGTCCTGGAACCCTGGCCCTTCCCCCAGTGGCAGCCTTGGTGCTGGAAACAGGGAGGGCATGTGTACGGGGAGTGGTTTTTTTTTTTTCTTCTTCCGCACTGGGGTTTGAAACCAGGACCTACACCTTGAGCCATCCTACCAGCCCTTTTTTGGGAATGTTTTTTTGAGATAGGGTCTCGCAAACCATTAGCCCGGGCTGGCCTCGAACTATTATCTTCCTGATCTCTGCCTCCTGAGTAGCTAGGATTACAGCCAGCGACTGGCTGGGGAGCATTTTTTTTTTTTAAACCCCTACCGCCTGCCTTGGGTAAAGCAGGGGAGGCAGATGAGGGGGCCACCCAGTACCAGCTGGACCATCCTTTTAGAGTGCAAGCTACACTTTACAGATGGGGAAACTAAGTCACAGAGCAGAAAAGCTTGTTTTAAGCCTCACAGCTCAATAGGTGCCAGGCTGAGAGCTGATGGGACCCAGGCCCCCCAACCTTGGGTGTTGGCATTTGCCTGGACCCTCCAGTTCTCTACCATGGGAACCTTTTCTCCCAACTCCGGGGTGACTAGTTGTGGCTGCTATGAAGCTGACAGCCCAAAGAGCAAAGCTGGAATCTGCTCTCTGGCTCTATTTTCCTTCCTCTCTCACAGCAACACCTCCTTGTTTCTTGAGTGTATGTAGTCCAGACTGGCTATCCTCCTGTCTCCACCTCCTGAGGGCTGGATTACAGGTGTGTGCCACCATGCCTGCCTACAAGACCTGCCTTCTCTCTGCACTCTCTTGCCTGTCATGCCTGGCACGAGGCATGCACTCCGTGTTGAATGAGTGTGCTTTGGCAGGGATGGGAAGAGCAGGGGTTACAGTATTTCCTGTTCCCAAGACATGGGAGAGCCCAAGACCACTTCCCATCTTGCAACTTGGTCAAACTCAAGACTGTTAGTAGGGCTAGGGCCTACACCCAACTTACCTGGACTCTTTCAAGGAAGAAACAAGGGGGCAGAAAACCTCTCTTTCAGCCCCAGTTCTACCTCTGACCATCTGCTCTGTTCTATTCTGTTTCCTTTTTTTTTTTTTTTTTTGGAGGCACTGGGATTTGAACTCAGGGTCCCACGCTGAGTAGGCAGGCGCTCTACCACTTGAGCCTGCTGTTCCCTCCTCTTTATAACAATATAGTCATTCCCTACCTCATCTGAGACCTTGAAAACACTTAAGATGAGTGACAGGTGCCTGACATGCCTTTGGGGTCATCCGTGCCCCACACTGGGCTTATCTCCCCAGCTGTACCATGGTGCACAGGCAGCCTCTCTCTGAAGCTTCTTCCAGCTCTGGCTATCTTTCTGGGGTTCCCGGCCTCCCTCCCCCAACCTGAATCTCCCTCTCATTCCTGGTGCCTTCCCTGGAGACCTTATAAAGCCATTGTTTACACTGGGGCACACGGCTCAGGGCTCAGGCTGCCCCAGTGACAGGCCAAACACCAACAACTGCAGCAACAGCACGCTGAGTCACACTTTCCAGCTGGGGCTGCACCAGGCCCCTCTCCCTCCTAAGTCCATATATGACCTGGAGACAGCACTGAATTCATCTTCTTTCACCTGCATCTCTGAGTACACGTGTGCATGCGTGGGTGGGCTGCCCTCCACAACAACCCCAGGCCTGGAAGGGCATCTAGCTGGCTCTGTCCCTGACTCATTTACTTTGGGCACTCCTTCTGCTCCTTCTGGGCCTCTTTTCACTTTGGTCTACAAAACAGTGATAGGGCAAGAAAAAGAGTCACCAAGTGAAGAGGTTTTGGTCCCGGTTTCTGGCCCCAGCTCTGATCTAATCCACCACCCCTGGGGACACTCTTGAACTCCAAATTTCTTGTCTGTAATGGTGCAGTTTAGGATCTGATTTCTCTTACTGTGCCCCTGAGGTAAGATGACCAGAGAGGAAAGCCATAGCTGGCTTGGGGAAACTGGATCCTCAGCCAGAAACATTTTTCTGTTGAACTGGCCCTGTCCCCAAACTCCCCACCTTGGAGTAGGACACCACCAAGTCCCATACTACAGGCTTGGGTGACTTCCTGATCCTCCCTCTCCTTTTCCAAACCAGATCCAGCAGGAAGGCTGTCCACTTCTGATGCTGTCTTAGTCACCTAGTTTATCCATCCCAGGCTTCTTCCAAAGATTGTTCTAGAATGCTAACCTGAGTACCCCCATCCCTCCTGTTTGGATAGCTTTTAGGACTCCTGTTGTCCTCAGGGGGACGGAAGGAAGTTCATACTCCTGACAGTGGCCCCTTCCTCCAACCTGACAGCCAGATTCAAGTCCCTCTCCTTCTGGGGTACACCATATCCTTCCTCTCTCTTGTCCCGGGTTCTCTGGACACACTGACCCTTCCGCTTGGAACTCCTTTAGCCTGATTTTCTCGTTCACATCCCAGCTGCCTCTGCAGTTTTTTTTTTTAGATAGCCATGGTGGGCTTGCAGCCCCCACCCCTCCCACACCCTCCTGGTTTCCTCCATCATCGTCCTCCTCACTACCCACTGATAATGGTTTCACCTGCTAGGCCTTGAACTACCCAGAAGACAGGGCCCTGTCTGCTTCCTCTGGCTTTTACAAGGGTCTCTCTCCCTCCATACTCCCCCATGCCCCCCGGCCCCTCTTTGTGCCAGGATAGCAGATTCTGGTGAAACAGGGCAGGTGGGAGAGTGGCGTTTCTCACCGTGGGGCCTGGAGCAGGGGTTAGGACTTTTTGGTTTTTACCAGCCCCTTCTGGACCAGACAGCGGTAGAACTCCTGGATGTACGTGTACACGCACTTCCAGTCGGGCTCTCGAAGCCGCACCATGTCCTCTGTATCCAGGAGCTGCGGGCAGTCCGCATGGGTCCTGGGGAGGGTAGGGGGGCCGGGAAGGGGCGGGGGGGGGGACACAGGGCCCAGTGGGGGAAGAGAGGGAAGAGACGGAGAAGAGAGAAGGGAGGAGAACAGAGAGACACACATACACACACACACACACACAGAGACATGAGTTCAGTTACATTGTCGGTGCTGCAGTCTGCCAGCCCCCCGCCCCGCATGCCCCCAACCCCATCGTGGACGTGCTGCTCACTACCCATCACTAACGGTGTGCGATGCAGACAGGGGTGGGGAGGACCAAACCAGTCACAGGTGCAGAGGATTCTTGGGGCAAGCGGGGACGCAGGGTGGGGGGACGATGGAGCTGGCACCGAGGTTGGAGAGGAGGGCTGTGCCCCGGGGATGGGGGGTGAGGGAGGCGTGAGAGGAGGTGGGGAAGGAGGAGGAAGAAGTCTGGAAGGAACCAGAAAGAGGAGAGAGAGGATGAAAGAGATGGAGGAGGGTGCTAGGGTGAGGTGAGCAGAAGAGGCAACGATTCCAAAGTGGACGGCTGGTGGTTTTCTATATAAGCCTCTCTCTGTGCCTATATAGACCGCACGGGCATGGTGCCCGAGCAAGGAGCCTCCTTTTGGAATCTCCAGCCGGGATCCCGTGGGAGCAGGAAGCTCTTGTGACAGTGGGAGGAGCAGGACAGAGAAAGGGAGAAAAGAGGAAGAAGGGGCACAGGGAAGAGGGAGGGGACAGGGACTAGGGCCACCTGGTGGGCTTTGGCCTGGGCTGGTAGGCGGGCCTGCCGCTCCTTCCTTCCGGCGGGCACCTGGCACACTCAGCAGCAGGTGGGCAGGGACAGAGGAGGATGGGGACTCTCTGGGGAAGGGGGTCTCAGCTGCAGACCCAGAATGGGGCTGGCCACTTCTGGGGTGTGTGGGGGCTCTCAGGGCAGCTGAGCCCAGCCGACACCAGCAGGGCCGGGGCCCACACTTACTCAGCAGACGAGAAGGCCACCTCGAAGTTTTGGCGCCGGTTCTGGGGGCTAAGCTGCCCGTAGTCGAAGGCCTCAGGGAAGAAGTTGTGCACCAGGGCACAGAAGGCCATCCCGTCACTCCAGCTGGAGGAGAAGTTCTGGATGTCCACATGCTGTGGGCAGTAAGAGGGACAGGTCAGGATCCAGGGGGGCAACTCCTCCATGCCCACTGGGTTGCTTAGACGCCACGTGTCTTGCTCAAGGCTGCACAGGACATGGGCCTCCGCCAACTCAGAGTGCTCACTCCCACGTCCATGATTTAGGGGCCCAAAGCGACCTTCCCTCATTTACAAAAATGTGCCCAATGCCCCCTCAGTGCTACAAAGACAGAGTGGGGTCTGGCCTTGAACCATACCCACCACCCAAGGGGCCCTCATTAGATATGACCACTTAATCACTGATCCTGGGATAGCACGCATGTCATAATTCCTATTAATTAATTTATAGGCAGGGTCTCACTATGTAGCCCAGGCTGGCCTTGAACTCATGACCCTCCTGTGTCGGCCTTGACAGTGCTGGCATTACAGGTGTGAACCACCACACCTGGTTTAACATACTCTTTTCTTTTTGGATATACTGAGGAGTGAACTCAGGGATCTCTATCCCTGGAGCCACGTCCCCATGTGTCTTCTTTGGGCCTCAGTTTCCCCATCTTAGAGGCGTTCTGCCAGGGCCGAGGTGCCGAGCTGGGGTGTGGGAGGCCACTGGGCGGCTTGGCCCCCGGGGCTCACCTCGTAGCCACGGGTCTTGGCTCGGCACCAGTCCAGCAACATCTGCTTGATGCTGTTGGCGTTGGGGACCCCGAAGCTGGTGGAGCGCTGCACAGCTGTCCGGGGTCCTCCAGGGCTCCTGTGGGAAGGGCGGTGCTGGGTCAGGGTCACAAGGCGACAGGGGGTGCCACCTCAGTGGGCCCACAGTGCGGGCCGGGCCCGCCCTCCACGACCTTCGGACCCTTCCACCTGCCAGAGCCCAGGGCCTCAGCATCTTGGCCCCGCCCACCACCACTCAGGCCCCGCCCACCCTCACTGGGGCCCCGCCCTCCACGACCTTCAGACCCACCTGCCGGAGCCCAGGGCCTCAGGTTCCTGGCCCCGCCCCCCGCCACTGGGGCCCCGCCCCCGCCCTCTGCCACTCACCCCGCGGCCCCCTCCTTCTCCAGCTTCTCAATCATGGCCTTGCGCGCTTGGGACGCGGAGGTCTTGGGCAGACTCTGCGCCTTCATCAGCTCTTTCTTCTTCTCTGCTTGGCGTTTCTCCAGCGCCGCCAGGCTGCCCGGCCGTGGACTGGTTTGGTCCTCCCGGTCGAAGATGCTGGAGGGTGAGGAGGTGGCTGTTAGTCGGAGCAGGACGGCCATCCCTGCCCCTGCTTGCGAGGGAGGGGTCGGTACTGGGTCAAAATGAGGTGGACAGGTCTTCACCACACCCATTCCACTGAGGGCACCAGGAACGGGGGAGCTGGTGGCTCACGCCTGTAATTCCAGCTACTTGGGAGGCTGAGATCGGGAGGATGGAGGTTTGAGGCCAGCTCGAGTAAACAGTTCCTGAGACCTCATCTCCAAAATAACCAGAGCAAAATGGACTGGAGGTGTGGCTCGAGTGGCAGAGCGCCTGCTTTATAAGCACAAAGTCTGGAGTTCAAATCCCAGTTCCACTAAAAAAAAAAAAGGGGGGGGGCGGCCCAAACAATGTATACACATGTGAGTAAATGTAAAAATGATAAAAAATTTTAAATTCCCATAAAAACCCAAACAAACAACAATCCCCATAGAGTACACCGAGGCTCAAGTGAATCTTACAATGTATAAAAACGACCAGCATAATAATAATAGTAGTTCGTGTCCCCTGAGGCTTTTCTGTGTGTCATTTCATTTGTTGCCATGTTTGGGAAGAAACTCCATGTCTCCCCCATGCTGGAGGAGCCTCTACCATTAAGCCACACCGCCAGCGTCCCTGTGCCATTTAGACTGCAGGACGGGAGGGAGGGACCCATTCTTCGTTATACTGAAGATGAGGACACTGAGGGCCCTTGCCTAAGATTTCAGAGGACGCGCCAGAGCTGGAACTTGAACATGGGTCTCTGATTCAGTCCCTGGAGCCTCTGGTTCCCTGCTGGATTTTACTCAGTCTCCTTTTTCCTTTCCTTTTATTTATTTATTTTATTTTTGTGGCACTAGGGATTTGACTCAGGACCTCATGCTTGCTAGGTGAGCACTTGGTACCCACTCGCCCCCACCCCCCAAGCCCTTTTGCTTTTAATGTGTTTCAGATGAGGCCTTAACACTTTTTTTTTTCCCCCAGCCAGCCTGCAATTGGGATCCTCTGGGATTACAGGTGTGTGCCGCCACTCCTGGCCCTAGTCCCTGCTTTCTGCCAGTTCCCCCCCATCCTGTGTACCATGGGGCTGTACCCTCCTTCATGAACACTTCGAGTAGTACTCTGTGACCTTGAGGTGGTTTTCAGACATTGGGAAGTGGCAGTGCCAGCAGGCAGCTCAAGGTGGCACACAGCTGTGCGACTCTGGGCAGGTCTCTGGCCTCTCTGAGCATCCACCTCCCCCATGGTGTGGCTGAGGATTAAGTGAGATCACAAAGCAACTAGGAGTGGTCTGACCCACTTTGTCCCTCCTTGACTGTAGGCCTGTCACCTCCTGGCATCTCAGTCTGCCCCTCTGCAGAATGGGTATGCACTGAGGTGCTGACCCCTCTGTGGCCTGGGAGTGGATGCCCGTGCTCACCTGCCCATTTTCTTGGATGAGGAGGAAGAAGAGAAGGTCTTGGTTTGCACTGTGGTACTGCCACTGCCATCTGCAAAAAAAAAAAAAAAAAAAGGGAAAGGGAGCAAGGTGAGTGCCTGGGTGGATATCAGGATATGGGAAGAGAGGCTGCCCAGAAGGGATGGTGATAACCACAGGCAGAGACGAGAAAGTCACAGCACAGTTGAAGACCCAGAGAGAGTGCTTGAGGAAGAGGCCAAGGAGGTGACAGGTGGGCACAGGCGGTGTCAGGCAGCCTTACTCTCTGAGCGCCTCACGAAACTCGACTCCATGGTGGTGGTGCGGGCTGTCCGTGTGCCATCATCTGGAGGGGCCAGAGATGAGAGGACAGGTGTGAGAGGCACAGGCGCTCACCCTGAGCCCACCCTGCGCCCTGGGCCCTGCTTGGCTCCTTACTGGAGTGGACAAGCCGCTCGGTCTTGGTAACAGTGCTGACAGTCGAGCCATCAGCTGCCCGTTGGCTGTGCCTTGTGGTGGTCTCTGTGGCCGTGTTGCTTCGGCCCTCCCCTGGCCGGGCCCGTGCCTCCTGCAGCCGCCGTTCTCTCTCCTTGTCCCGCTGGTCTGGGCGGGGAACGCCCCATGGATGCCCAGAAGAGCCACCCAGTGCCCACACAGCACATATGCACAGGCACACAGGGCACAAAAAGATAGGGTAGACGGCAGCTTGTTAGAAACACTAATGACACAGGGAACAAGGGCCTCTCTAGGGACAGCTGAGGGTGAGGGGACAGCCATAACTTGGCAGAGAGCAGGCTGTGTGTTGGAGGTGAGTGGACTCAGGCAGATGGGTAGGGAAGAAGGAACAGCAGACGTCATCAAGGTATTTGGATCCAAGAAGGAAGTTTCTATGGGAAGGAGCAGCTGAGTCAGGGGGAGTTCTAGTCCCAGGGAGGGAGTAGCTGCCACCCCGAGGAGAAGCTGGGTGAATGCAACAGTCCACCTGGGTGTTTTATGGGGGAGAAGAGCAGCTGGAGGAAGGACTCCCTAGATCCAGGGAAGGAGCGGTTGGAGGTGTCAGAGAAGCGATCTGAGCCACGGAGAGAGAAGTTGAGAGAGAAGCTGGTTAACTGGGTCCCTTATGGGGGAGCGAGGTCAGCAGTGGATCCTGGAGGAAGTGGCCAGCTTCAAAAAGGGAGCGATTGGGAGAAGGAGTCCGAGGGAAAGAATAGCTGTGCCCAAGGAGGAAGTGTCAGAGGGAGGAAGGAGCTGTGTCCAGGAAAGGGGAAGCGGGTAGGGGCACAGGTGGAGGTGGCCATCAGTGGCCCTCAGGGAGAGAGGAGCATCTGGGAGAAGAAGCATCTGGGCTCAAGGAAGGGGCAGTTAGTTGACAGTTCTGAAAGCAGTTGGGAGGGTCTCGGAAGGAGGGGAGAGGAACTAAGGAAGGAGGCGAGGTCATGGCTGGATCTAGGGGAAGCGAAGCTGCACGGGACAGTTGCTGGACTGCACCGTCCACGAGTGGATCCCAGAGGGGGCACCTGGGGCAGGGGAGGCAGCAGCTGGCTGTGGGCAATGGCTGTCTACCTCTCTTCCTTTGTCGGAGCTCGCGGAGTGCGGCCCGGATGAGTTTCCGCTCCTCGAAGTCCGTGGTCTGATCCAGCTGCAGAGAGAGCTGCGTTGCACCCCTGGGGTCTGCCAGTCCCACCCCCTGCCCACCGCAGCCCACCAGATCCGCCATACCATCTTGTCCAGGACGCCTTCATCCTCGATGGCCATCAGCTGCTCGCGGCTCAGAGGGCTCCGTCCCTCTGGTGCTTTGTCCATCCGGGTCTGGTCTGTGCCATTAGCTGCCTCTATGGCCACCGAGGGGGGCTCTGCGGGCTCTGGCTCCATCTATGGGAAGGGGAGAGAGAACGGACTTTAAGTGGCATCTGTGTGAAACCCACCATGTCCCCAGTCGACAGAGTACCAGATCCAGTGGCTGCTGGCACAGCCTGGGGAATTACCAGTAGCCGGCCAGCCCACGATGGCCATGCTGGTGCCAGGCTTAGGGTATCGGTCTTGTTGTAGGGTTTCTCCCATATCCAGAACCATACGAAGATAGTAGCAATAATAACGGTTTCCATTTATATAAGCACTACGCATTTTCTTTTTCTTTTTTGCCATACTGGAGTTTGAACTCGGGGCCCAAACCTTGAGCCACTCCACCAGCCCTTTTTTTGTGAAAGATTTCTTTTGAGATAGGGTCTTGTGAACTGTTTGCTCAGGCTGGCTTCGAACTGTGATCCTCCTGATCTTTGCCTCCTGAGTAGCTGGGATTACAGATGTGAGCCACTGCACCCGGCTAAGCACTTACAAATTTTCTTGTCCTTATTCAACAGAAGGGAAAAAAACTGAGCTCAGGGTAGCTGACACATTTGTCCACAGTCCCTTTGTAAGTGTGATGCACCTGGGGTCTGAGCAGAAAGGAGTCTGACTTCTGCACCTGAGATCTTTCTGCTGCTGTGTCCCCAACTCCCTTCTGGGCAGGCCCTGTTCCTGAGGCCTGGGTCCTCAGGCAGCATGCAGCCCACCCTTCCTTGGTCAGGGCCCCGGGACTCTTAACCAGGTGTCTGACTGGGGCTGTCATGAGTCAAGACCTCACAGAGCTCCCCTCTGTACCACCTTCCCTCCTAGTGCTCCCCACTCCCCACCAGGGCATCTCTCCAGCCCCCGAAGCCGAGGTGAGGCCCCAGCCCAACAATTCAAGCCCCTCCTCTCCTGGCAAGGCCTCTCTGTCAAAGTGAAGGAGAGCCAAAGTGGCAGCTGTTTCAGGGAGGCTGGGCCTGGCTGGGGTGGGGGCACGGGGGTGGGGCTGGGGGCTGGGCCATGCCAGGGGCAGCGGCCACGCACGCCTCAGCGCAAGAGCCTGGCATCCTGCTGTTCCAGGCTTGGAGTACCAGTGCCCTAGTCCCCTGCGCAGACAGGTAAACTGAGGCTCAGAGAAGTTGCCCAGGCAGAAGCAGGGCCTGGCTTGAATAATCCACCCCCTCCCACAGGCTGGGGAACTTACGAGACCGCTGTTGCGGGTGGGCCCGGCCGAGGAGCGGCGGCGGGTGCTGAAGGCAGGTGGATGGGCCACAGGAGTGACAGCACCCTCGGCCGCCTGGAACAGGGCCTCGGGGTCGGCGGCAGCCAGGAGCTGCTCGCTGGGCTCCAGCTCAGGCTCGAGGTCCGGCACAAGTGGGACCCCCAGCCGTAGACTCAGCACCTCCACCTGCCTGCTCAGCGCGTCCAGCCGCCGGTTCAGGGCCACTGTCTCCGCACGCAGCTCATCAGCTGCCTGGGCCACCGGCTCCAAAGTGGCCATGGCTGCATCGGCTGCCTGGGTCACCGCCACCCGGCCTGCCTCAGCCACTGCCCGCAGCTCCTGCAACGCCTGGCTTAACCGTTCCTCGAGGGCTGCAGCCATGTCAGGCCCAGGCCCTGGTACCCCCGGCATAGCGCTTGCTGGGGACTCTTGAGTGGCGTAAATGGTGGGGCGACAGTGGCAGGGGTGCTGCCTATGCTGGCAGTGTCAGAGACTTTGCAGCTGGTCCGAGGGCGAAGGCAAGGGCAGCGGGCCTGCCCCGCCCCTGCCGGCCTCCTAGCCTGCCACCAGCCAGCTGGAGCTGTGGCCCAAATAGAAACCTATTCTGGGCTCCTCTGTGGAGGGGACAATGGGGGAGGGGAGGCCTGCTCAACCAGGCGGACCGCCAGGCCTGGGTCTGGCTCTGGCCCTGAAGCACAGCAAGGTTGTACAGGTTCTGCTGAAGGACTTGAGACCAGGGCCACCTGCCTCACAGGTAGGGAAACTGAGGCAGGGAGCAGCCCCTGTCTAAGACACCGTGTTACATTAGCTCTAAGAATCCGGTCTGGCAGACTTCAGAGTCTGCCCTCTTGCCAAGCTGTAAAGCCTTGAACAGATGGGGGAAATGAAGGCACAGAAAGGTGAGTCTTGGAACCAGGGCTGGAACAAGATAACATCCCCTAGCCTGCCGTGGTGTTCAGATTCAACCCAGAGTTATTGTATAGACACGTCATCTGCTCCCCCCTAGATGGGGAAACTGAGGCAAGTTGGTGGTGCCAGACTTGAATCTTACTCTGGCACCTTCCATCTTCCCCCAAGGGCCACAGCTGCACCCTCCCTTCTGCTACCCCACCCCAATCACTTCGCAGAGGGCAGCTGAGTCCTGCTTTGGTGGAGGAAGTGCACTTTCTTGCCCCCACTCTCTCCCGGTCACCCGTCTGAAGGCCCAATGCTGGCTCTAGCCACCTCACCTCAGCCAAAGTCTCACTCTGTCTCCGGCTCAGCACAGAGGACATTACCTAGGTAGCCGGGTGGCCCACTGGGGATCCCTTCTCACCCAGCTGAGTTCCTGGCCAGGCTATCCTGGACTAGGGAATGAATAATGGAAGGACTTGGCATATTCAGTTCCTGGTGACACCTGCTAGGCAGCTGCCTCACCTGACTGGTGCTCCCTGCCTGTCGGTCCCCATCAATTCCTCTGCCCAACCCCCACGGGGAGGTTGACACAGACACTAATCGCTAATCTCCAGTCTCTTCATGGGCTCGGCTGATCTCGGATGAGCTGCTGGGCTTCTGATGTCCAGGCTGGGGTGGAAGCAGGGCCCTGGGGCTCCACAGGAAGGGCGCAGCAAGCCCCCACCACCCTCTCGGAGCCTCAGTTTTCCCATCTGTTCATTAGGCATGAACCAACCCATTTTGGAACAAGTGGGCAGAGAGAGCTGTAGATACGCCTGGTGGCTGACACGCAAAGGTTCTGTGGGCTGTGGGCAGCCACTTTTTCTTTCTGGGACTCAGTTTCTCTGTGTGTTCAGTAGGGGAGGAGTAGAGCAGAGGAATTCTGCTAGCCCTACACCAGTAAGCACTCACTGAGGCTGGTGGGGTGGGGGAGCTCGCTCACCTTAACGCTGTAGCCTCCTCGGCTACCAGGGGAGGCATGGCTGAAGGTGGTGACATGAGTGACACTGCCCAGCCGGGCCAGGGTCCCAGGGCTGCTGACACGGGCGATAGTGTTTTTATCCTCGCTGTTGGTGCTGAGGAGGGTGGGGGATGTCTGCATCCCTAGTGTCAGTTCTGGGTGAGGAGAAGAGCTGCTGTCAGGATCGCGGGTAAGGAAGGTGCTAGCCAAGGTCAATGGCACCCTCATCCCCAGCACACACCCTTTCAGGCTCCCTGAGCCCTGGGGCAGCACCTGTCCCATGCACAGAGCTGGGCAGTGTAAGCATTCACCCCCAGCAGGGGGGAGCGGCGGGGAGGCCTACCTGCCCGCTGGTTGCCTGAGGGCAGCAGTACCCGGCCCGTGGAGGCCTGGCCACGGCCATGCTTGATTTCAATGGTGAATGTGGTCTTCATATTGCCCCCTGGCTCTGCAGTGCCGACAGGCACAGGCAGCGGGGCACTGGGCTCCTCTGAGCAGGCCCTGGGCCCCCCTGCACTGTTTTCAAGGGACCTGGCAGCCAAGCCCCGCCCCCCGGGGCCCTCCTCTTGGGTGCAGCTCTGAAGCTGGGCCAGGGGCTGAGTCGTTCCTCTTTGCTCCTTGCTGAACCCGGAGGAGGTGTCACTGGGGCCCCGAGAGGAGGAGCTGCTGGAGGAGGAGGCAGGGGTGGTGCTGATGACGGAGGGGCCCAGGAGCCTTGTGGGGGTCTGGGATGCGAGGGCTGCCCGGGGTGGCCCATCCTGGAGCCTGGCAGCCATAGGAGAATCAGACGTGAACTTGCGGACACGGTCTCGCACGGAGCCAGCCCTCTGGAACGGGGAAGGTCCACTGGCACGGGGGGTGGACTCTAGGAGGGACAGGAGGGCCGTCAGGGCCTGGGTGGGACAAGGACTGCCCAGAGTCTGGGGCTGGTAAGAACAGACAGTACCTTGATTCTGGGCTGGCTGTCGGGGGCTGAGCACGGACAGGGAGCGTTGGCAAGGCTGGGGCCCAGTCAGGTCTGGCAGGTTGGGGAGGGGATGGTAGCGATAAAGAATGAGAAAGGAAGGGGTGATGGGGGGGGGATCCATTTATCATTTCCTCTCCTCCATAGCCCCCAACCTCCCCCTGCTCAGGCCTGCTCATTAAGTCGCATCTCTCCTACAGGTTCCTTCCCCTCCCACGAGGACCCCAGTGTGACATGGGCTCTCCTAGGGGCCAGGACAAAGCTTGGGCAGGTCCTTCCTGGCGATGGGGATACAGGACAGCCCCCGTGGCCAGTACTGCCCATGGATCCGGCTGAGAGATGGGTGCACTCCCTTATTGGGGAGAAGAATGTGCCTGAGGCCTTTGCCTTTCAAGGCTGCAGGGAGGCCTCTGGCCATGGGTGACAGGGGTGGGCCTGGCCGGGGGCGGGAACATCACAGGGGCAGTGGTGGGGGAGTGTCCAGAACTGCCTGGACCCAAGCAAACTGGAGCTGTCCAGGCACCACGGCCCTTTCTGCAGGCAGGCAAGAGGAAGTTGGGGCAGGGGAAGGCAAACCCTTACCTGCTTTCTTGGTGTTGGAGAGGCCTCTGGTGGTGCCCTGGGTAGCAGGAGGGTCTGTGGGGCCAGACAGGAGCTGCAGGGACACACAGCATAAGCAGGGCTGACTTCCAGACTGAGGCACTCACATGCCTAGCATCCAAGACCCCTCTCAAACTCACCTTGACCACTTGCTCCTCAGTGCTGGGGGGTACCGGCAACCCTGGAGGCTCAGGGCTGGGGGCCTCCGGGGTGCTGGGAGCTGGCTCAGGGCTGCCCGGGGCCTCAGCAGCAGGACACTGGGCCCCAGCAGGCTCTGGTGGAGGCTCAGGAGAAGCAGTGGTAGGTGAATCGTCGGGTGAGGCAGGCGAGCTGGCTGTGTCTTCAGGTGGGGCCGTCAGCACGAGTGTCACTGTGCTCACATCCTGGCTGGTGTCCTCGGGAGATGGAGTTGGCACTGGGACCTCTGTCAACTGCTCCTGCTCCTTGTGCTCTGGCACCTGTGGGAAACCCATAAGATGTACCCAAGGCTTCCCCGACCTTGAGTGCTACTCCCACCCAGGGAGGACCAGTGCATGCAAACAAGGCAGGGGGCCAGGCCTGGCTTCCCTGTGGGCACACCTGCATAAGCAGGTGGCAGTCCCCAATCCCCAATCCCCACTCCCCAGTCTCTCAGCACTGCCTAGCCAAAGAGAGCCCAGAGAGGCCCAGATGGCAATGGCTGGGGATGGCAGGAGACCTGCTGGGGACCCTTGGAGCAGAGGCCTGGCTCTGGCCTTAGCCTGGTTAATCGGGGAGTAGCTGTGTCCTGCCAGGACTCCTAGCGACCTCTGCTGGCCACTTGGGGAAACTGCATGGCGTGACTTCTAGTGCTCCACCAGCCAGCTGGGGCCTCATGCAAAGGTGAGGTGAGCTAAGGTAAGGATGCAGGTTGTCTGGAGGTGAGGGGCCTGGAGAAGGGTTTAAGTGGTCAGACGAGCACTTCCGGGAGATCCCTCTGGCTGCTGAGTGGGAGGCTGGATGGCAAGGGTGGGGGTAGGAAGTAGGAGAGGAGGCGGGAAAAGTGGGAAAGGGGCAGGACCTTGGCGGATGGCTTTGAGGGGAAAGCCTGAGTGGAAACGGAGTCTGGAGTGGAGCTATCAGTGGGCACAGGCCTGAGAAAGAGAAAGAGCTCCAGTGTCTCTTAAACGTGGGCTGCGATCCCCGCTGTGCCCCTGGCACCTGTGGGCTCTGGGCCACCGTCCCGGCACACCACGCTCCTTACCTCACACCGGTCCAGCCTGTGTGCTGCCCGCACCTTGTTGTCCTCTCCGGAGTCACCGTTGGCACGCCCACTGCGCAACCTCCCAGCTACGGTGGCAGCTGAAAGGGCAGGGGCAAGTGTCAGGAGAGTGGCTGGGAGGTGCTGGAGGCAGAGCAAGGCAGCTGTGGGGCCAGGACAGGACACCTACCCTCAATCTCCTGTGCCCGGACCCGACGGATGGCAGCTCGGATCAGCTTGCGCTCCTCGTACTCACCGGCGCTCCTCAGCTGTGGGTAGGAGGCAGACAGAGGGAGGCTGGGCTATGGAGTCCAGGTCTTCACCTGCCCTGCCCCCATCCCCTGCCCTGGCCTGGGCCTCACCAGAGTGGTCAACTCCTCCACGTCATTCATGGACTCCAGCCGCCCCGCCAACCGTGCCAGGGCTGCCCGCTGCTCGGCTTGTCGCTGCTGAGAACTGGGGAGACATTCTGACTGTGACCACCACTGGCGTGGAGGGTGAGGGCTCAAGGTAGGAGCTGTTGCGGGGTACCCGGAACCAGAGCGCCCTATGCGTGTCTGTGCAGACACTCTGGTTGCACACTGATCCGTGTACACCCCTGGACATGGGTGCCACACCCCAGACTCGCTGTCCACAGCCTGTGAGCACGATCAGCACTTGTTCCTATACCCACAGACCTCCCCATTTATTCCACACACTGCCAGGGCACACGGTGGGCGCACACACACCTGCGCCCACACCTGCGATGCACGAGCTGAGCCCCGGCACGCGCCTCCCCCCCACCCCCCAACTGCACGACCGACTCTCTGTCACTCACTGCAGCCAGTTCTCCTTGTGATCCTGCCGCTCTGCACGGAAGCGTTTGGATGCCAGCGCTTCCTCCTCTCGCTCCAGCTCCTGCCGCTGCAGTTCCCGGATGGCGGAGCGGATCCGCCGCCGCTCTGCCAGGTCGGCTGTGACCTCTAGCTGCAAGGCAGGCGGGGGCGAGGGGCAAGTCATTTCGGCAATCAAGGGTGGAGGGCTGGCACCAGCTGCCCACTGATCTGCCTGGGGCACAATGAGTGGCCTGTCTTTACTGCCTCTGCCCCAAGGCCTTCACGTGCCTGCCCACCCACTCAGGGTCTAAGGAGAGACCCAGATCATGGTGCCAGGGACCCTGGAGGGCCTGGTGTGCATTGTGGTTCACGGAGCAGCTTCTGTGAGTGGGCTGCCAGCAACCACCCACCCGTGTGGGTGCCTAGTAGCCAGGCACTCCTTCCTGCCCTTCATCAACCCCGAAAGGAGCCACTGACAAGGGTCCCTGGAGCCAGGCACTGTGGCTCCTATCGGTAATCTTAGCTCCTCAGGAGGCAGAGATCAGGAGGATGGCGGTTCCAAGCTAGCCCCGGCAAATAGTCTGCGAGACCCTGTCTCAGAAGGAACCATCACAAAAAAGGGTGGTGGAGTGGATTGAGGTGTAGCTCCTGAGTTCAAACCCCAGGACCGCCAAAGAAAAAAGAAAAGAAAAGAAAGAAAAAGGTCCCTAGAGAGGGAAGGGTGACTTGGGTCGCTAAGTTCTCCAGTAAACAAGGGGGACTCCAATGATCTAGTGCCAAAGCACCACAGCTTTGCTGGGGGTTTGGGGATGACAGATGGGGAAACTGAGGTAGGGGCAGAGGCTCACAAGTCCTAGCTCCCTGCCTGGATGGGGACTTTTCTCCCCCCCGCATTGCCCTTGGCCTAGCACTAGCTACCACTAGATGACTCCGAGTGGGGGGGCCAGTTCCCCAGAGAGAGAAGGCGGCTGGCCCCGTGGCTACCCAGAGCCCTAGAGAGGGTATCCACAGGTGACAGGATCTCTGACCGGCTTTTCAGTCCCATGGTCACTGGGGATTTGGGGGTGGCTGGTGTAACAAGGTCCAGAAAAGAGCAACTTCCCTGGGCTGACTCAGCCAATCCTGGTAAACAAAACCCCCGCCCCCAGGATCCTCTGTAGCTCCAGCGGGAGGACTGGCCCAGGGCCCCCAGGAAGGCAGTAGCTAAACTAGGCCTCCGGTGTGGGTCTGATAGCCAGATGGGAACAAGTAAAAGCAGGGTGACTTCCTTGTCTCCACCCCACCAAATCATTCAGGGGTAGAGTCAAGGAGCCATCTATCCTCTCTCTTCCTTTTCAGCCTTCCCCTCCACCGCTATTCCTTCCTGTTCAGTGGGGGAGCTGGATGGTGGGGGGTAGGTAGAGATACATAAGTTTCAGCACCGAGTATGGGCTGGCCTAATTTAGCCATGGGCCAATTTGATCTGGTCTGAAGAGAGTGGAGGGAGCTTTGGGGGACAATGCTCTCCGGCCACAACATTCTTGAGAAGCTATGGGAAGGTCCCCTGAAGCCCAGGCCAGAAACTCCAGCTGGTCCTAGCCCTACCTGGGTAGTCTGGGGCATAGCCTTTAATCTCTTGGCGTCTTCATTTTCTTATGTGCTACAGGGAACAGTGGCCTCCATCCCGGGGCAGGGATGGGGGAGTGACAGGATGTACTGTAGATACAACAAACATCCCCCACCAGTCAGGGGGAGGGAGACAGAGGCCAGGACAAATAGGAAAGGTGGTATGCTAAGCCTTCACTTCTCCTCATCTGCAAAACCCCTGTATACAGAGTCGTTCCCACCTGACAGAAGAGGAGAGAGAGACCCACGGAGAAGTGATTTGCTCATGGTCAAATGACCAGAGGCAGGATTTGAACCCAGGTCTCTGACTCCAGGGCCTGTCCTAGACTGAAGATGGCTGTGATGCTGGGGTCTGTTTGTTATGGCGGGGAACCCTGAAGAGCCTCGTGCCGTGTTGGGGAGCCCTCTGACCTGGTCTACAGAAGCCAGAGCCTAAGGGAACCTAGTACAGCAAAAGGAAGAATGAGATTCAACTCCCCAGCACACTTTAAGATGGGGGACCCAGGGAACAGTTGGTCCGGCCTGCCCTATGCAAAGAATAGAGTCCTGAGGTACAATGAGTACCGTGTACCCATTGCCAGTCCCCTGGGATCGGGAGACAGGGTCCTTGCCTCTGCAAAAAACCCTGAGGTGTTAACTTGCCAATGCTGCAATCTCTGGGAACCTCAGTGTCTCCATCCAGAAATGGGGAGCCTCCTTCTGATCCCCCCAAGTGGGTGGGGCGGGGCTGAGGAGGAATGGGCCTCATTCCACTGGTCACCCCCTGGAATGACCCTTTCCTTCAGGCCTGCAGGGAAAGGTCGGCCAAAGTGTCCCTGCTGTGTGTCCTGCTGTCTGTGTGTCCCCACCCTCTCCGGCACCACCTCTGTGTGTGGAAGGGGGTGTGGGACGGAGGGAAGGAAGTACAAAGGGCCTTTGTCCACCAGGGGGAAGGGGAAGGGGACTGGGCGGTTTCCTAAACAGCCTAGTGAAATTCTCCCGGGAGGAAAGAAGGTGCTTCCTCCTCCTGGGGGGCTGGGAGGGGACGGATCTCCGGTACTTTCTGCTGTCGCGGCTGGGGACATGAGGCAGGCCCAGCATCTCTGTGGGCTTCAGTCTCCCCACCTGCACCAAAGGTGACCGTGCAGGCGGTCGCTCAATCCCGGGACCCCAGTTGCCGGCGGGGGACCCGCAGGCAGTGCAGCGATGCCTCGCTAGGGGGCGCTCAAGGGTCGCGGGGTCCGCCCACGCCTCTGCCACCCAGCCGCGGGGCGGGGACAGCCAGACAGGAAGCCCCCGCCGCCGCCTGCTTTATGTCCCCATCCGCAGAGGGACCTCAGCTGCTTTTCCAGGTCACCCAGATGGAGTGCTGGAGCTCGAACTCCAGCTCAGGAGCAGAGGTGGCGGGAGCTCAGGCATGACGGCCGGGGGCACGCGGCGTGCATGTCCCCAGGCGCCCCGGTCCCGCGCAGCCCACCGCCCCGTCCTCAGGAATGTGCGGGAGCCGAGGCCGGAAGCAGCTGCCCGGGTCCCCGCGTCGGAGGGGGCGCGGGGCGGGCGGATCGGGCCCAGCTTTCCCTTATAAGGCCCGGCCCCGCAGGGAGGAGCCCGGCTCGGGACGCCCCCGCTCCTGCCACGAGGCGGGCGGGAGCGATCGGGTGGGGTGGAGGACCGGGCCTCCGGGGAGGAAAGGCTTTGGTGGTCCCGATGACCAGGGCTGGGGTCTCCTTTGGCCTTTCCCAGGAAGGGGATCCGGGGAGGGGTCAGAGATGGGCTGATTTAAAATCACCACTCCAGTTTCTTCCCTGAAATCCTTTCCCACGCCCCAAAACTCTTGGGAGAGTGGGACCTGGTGTGTGTGTGTTGGGGGGGCGGCAGCTGGAGAACCCCGAACCTCACTGTGGACCCCTGCGGGGGATGCCGGGAGACCTGGCCTGGCTTTGGCTCTGGTTCCCCCATTAGGTCTCTGACTTCTAGAAGGGAGGTGGAGCTGTCTGGTGCACCTTTGGAAACCCACCCCTGTCCCCTCCAGGCTGCATAGAGCCGGCAGTGGCATATACTCAGAGAGTTTGATCCCAGGACACACAGGCCAGGTACCTTGGGCTAGTCATGGCCGGGTGGCAGGGCTAAGGGGTGGCTCCAGCTTCTGCCTCTAGGGGAGAGGTATGGCTGCAGAGTGGGTCACTTGTCTTCTCCTGGGGAAAGTAAATCTTTAATTTTCTCCTCTGGACAAGGGTCAGGGGCTATGGGCAGTGGGGTTCTGGTTCCTGGCCTTGCTGGTCAGCACTTCCTTCCCGGCACAACCTCTCTGTGCATGGGGAGGAAGAGCGGGGTAGAAAGAAGCTGGGAGAAGAGGATGGAATACACCGATCCTGCCTGCCTGCTCCCCAAGATCTGGCCCATACCTTGTTCCACCCGTTTGCCAACCCAAGGACCTAGATTTAGGGTTCACACATTTCCTCCTCATTTTAGACTGTCTTTCTTAAATGTGCTCTTTCAACCTTGAGTTTCCCAGGACCCTTGGTGCCCCATGGCCCCCTCTGAGGTTTGGATGCTGGCACAGTTTCTCCCTGGGTGCTTTTGGGCAGGTAATTTCATCTGAGTGGCAGTGTCCTGGCTCTTGGAGTTGCTGTGAACATTCTGTGAGATGGTGCACCCAGCCCCCAGCCTACCCCCTGCAGGGCCCTGGCATTGCTGCTAACCTTATCACTGGGCTAGCTTCCAAGGGTGGGCACTGTCCGGGTAGTTGTTGGGGAGAGGCAAGTCCTGCCTCCCCACACCTGTGGCTGCACATGGGCGAGTCCTCAGCAGTTACTGTTTAAACAAGTGGTGGCAGTGGAGGGGGCGGGGTGGAGCTGGGAGGGACCATACCTCAGCATCTGGTATGGACAGGCACATGCCAAAGGGGCCTCTGTATCAGCCAGGTGGAACTGGCCTGGCCCTGTTCCCCTGATCCTTCCTTCAGACCGCTTCCCCAACACCTCTTCTTGTCAGCTTACTGGTCCTGCCTCTCTGGCCTGGCTTGCCCATTCACAGTGGGGTGATGGAGGGGGAACTTACCATTTTCCGGAGGGCCCCCTCGTCCAGTCCAGCTAAGGCCTCGTCTGCCATCTTGCCGGCTGCTAGCTCTGCCGTCACCTCCAGTGCCTGTGGCAACTGATATACCAGCTCAGGGAATTCTGCAGGATACAGATATGAGTTAAGGGCTGCTGGCACTTCCAGAAGCCACAGGCATGTGGACTCTGTGCCTCCGTTTCTCTCTTTAACCCAACAACATCTCATTCTGTGAGGTGGTTCCTGGTTGGGATTTGTCTATCTCCGGTCCTGGAGTTCCCTGGAAAACTCACCAATTCAAAAGTAGGTGTCCCTGTCCTAGCCTTGCCAGCTTGGCTGTCAGTCTGTTCTGTGGTCTAGGCTGGCATCCTGTGTAAGCCTCAAACAGGGACATGGATTGAAAAGTGGGACCCATTGAGGCCAACCCAAGCTGTGCTCACCACCAGGGGGTGCACGCCAGTCTCCACAGTTTCCTGCCCCACCCACCCAAACTCAGGGCCTGCCCAGCACTCATCCACTCCCAGTCCACACACTCAGCCTTTGCTATGGGCAGCCACTCTTACCCCCCCAGGTATGGGAGCTACCTATGTCTATCAGTTCTTGAAGGCAGCTCCCTGTGCACACCCTCTTCTCCCTCCTCCCCTGTCTCTGTGCCAACTGTCCTGATCTCCTGAAACCAGGTGTGCAGACACCCAGCTCCTTCTGCCAGTTCACACACTTGGAATTCATTTCCAAGTGGAAGGGCCGTCAGAAGCTGACCCGCCCAATTGTAGGGATCAGAAGGACCAGGGATTTGTCACAGGAGAAGGAAGATTCCAAAGACTCAAAGGGCAGGAAGGACTCTAATAAAAATCTCAGTCACTTCCCCCTTTTGAAGCCCCCTTTCAAAGTGTCCCCAAGAGAACAGGACACTTCCTCTTGTCCCATTACTGTCCATCAAAGTGGACCATAAATCCCAGCCCAGTGTGTCACAGGAGCTCTCTCCTTCCTCTTGTTATCCCCAATGTCTTAGAAAGTACATGGTGACTGAAATGGCCTCAGGATCTCCCCCCCCCCACCCCACACACACTTGATTCATCCGTCAGTCATCCCTTCCCTCTCCAAATAGTCACTTGGCGAGTCACTCATCTGGCAAATGAGGCTGGGGGAGTCCCAACCCACACAGTTGAAGTTTGCCCTGCTGCGTCTGTTCAAATGACCCCTTGCTTCTCCCATCCTGGTAGACTCAGATGGGTGTCAACTTCTCAGCCCCTTTCTGTTAGGGTCCTGGCCTCTTGTCTCCTTACTTTGTTTGGGATAATCGCCCTCTCAACAATGTCATTTCAGTGGTCACCAGCCTTAGGTTCTGTGGACATTCGGTGCTTCCTCCTGTTTTCTGAGGGGCAGGGGTTGCTATTGCTTAACCTAGGACACCCAGGAACCTTCAGGGATTCCTGCCACTACCCTTTTCCACCCCCCCACCCCCCAGTCTTATGGCTCCGTGCGACATAATCTGGGGTCCCTGAGATTGTGAGGGATGTCTGGGGTCGGTGGGAGCTTCCTGAAGGTATGTGCCCCCATACACTAAGCGTCCCTGGGGGTCGTGGAACCTCTTGGAGGTCCGTGGGTGTCCTCCCCCAGGGTTTCAGAACCTTAGCGCTCCCGTGATGGGGTGGATGCTTCCAGGTCTGGGAGTTCCAGAACCCCTGTTCAGATATCCAGGTTCCATCCCCCGCTGGACCCGTTGGAGGGGTGGTCCTAAGTGTAGCCCCGAGGTCCGCACACCCACCTCTCAATCCGGCTTGCCCGTCCGGCGCGGGTCGGGTTAGCTAGCCCCGATCGATGGTGTAGAGACGGTCGGGCGGGAGGCGCCGCGACCTGGGATCCCAGGGCCGCTCAGCAACCGTCCCCTGGACTCTGGTAGAGCCGCCTGTCCAGCCGCGCCAGGAGCCTCGCTCGTCCTGCCCCGCCCCGCCCCGCCCCGCCGCCCCAGCCAATCCCCGGCTGGGTCCCGCCCATCCCGGTGTCCTATTGGAGGATTTCAATTTGACGGCCACGCCTCGGAGAAAACCCCGCCTCCATGGGCCGGGCATGTTGGGTATTGTAGTCTTAGCGCTGCTGCTGCTGCTGCTGCTTCTGCGGAGTCTTTGGCGGGTCGGGTGGGCGTCGGCAGGTTGGATGCAGAACTCTATGGCAAAGTCAAGGAGGGTGTCCCAAGCCGGGATTAGTGGCTTGGGGACGTTTGAGTCCCAGAGCTGTCAGGATAGCTCCTCCCCGCCCTCCTCTTTGTTCCTGGGACCACGTCCCCTCCCTCGACTCCACCCACTCCTGGCGTCAGTGCTCCCTCTCCGCGGTTGCCCCGGGCCGCCTTCGCGACACCTGGTCTGGCCATTTAACAGCTGGGACTAAGTGACTAGCAGCACTTTGATCCTGTGTTGTATTTGCCTGGGACCATGTGAGACGAGCAGGATCGATCACAATGCGCGCCTTCCCCAGACCGCACACGTTTGCACAGACTCAGCCACAACCCTAACCCTAACCCTAGCCCTAACCCCAACCCCAAACCCAACCTCAACTCTAACCCTAACCCCAACTCTGACCCCAACCCCAACCCTAACCCAACACAGCCCTCACCTAGCATCCCTCTCCCTCCAAACCCTGCAGGGTCTGCCCTGTGCCTTTTGGATCTCTGGCATCTTAAACAGAATACGAACTCCAAATGCTCATTCAACAAATGGGGCTGGGGGAGGGGAACTGAGGCCCAACATTTTCAAGACCCAGCAAGAAATCAGCCAGGGGACACAAGAAATCAGATCCACTAGGGAAGGTCACTTAGGTATCCTGTGCTAGGGGTCCTGGAAACGCCCACAGGTCTCCATGGAGATCAAAGAGGGGTGGAACCCGCCTACGGGTCTCCATGGTTACCAAAGGGCCAATGGAGTCTGGAATCCTGCCTGGCAAATGAAAAGTAGAAAAATACAATTCATTTATTTTGCACTTTCTGTGTGTCAGGCCTACAGTGCCCATAATTAAATGATCCCCGAATTATTGTCCCATTCTACAGACGAGGACAAAAGGCCATAGGGAGTGGAGCTGTGGTTCACAGCCCCTTCCGAGTGTAGAGTTTGGAGCTGTGCTTCTAACCACAATAATGTGGGATTTCGAGGAGGTGGTTCCTGTTGGGATCCTCTGTGACCTTCCCACACTCTTATTTTTTTTTTTTTTTATTTTGGTGGTGATGGGGTTTGAACTCAGGACCTCACACTTGCTAGGCAGGAGCTCTACCACTTGAGTCATTCCACCAGCCCTGTTTTGTGATTTTTTTTTTTTTTTTCAAAACAGGGTCTTACGAACTATTTGCTAGGTTTGGCTTTGAACCATGCTCCTCGTGATCTCAGCCTCCCGAGTAGACAGGATTACAAGAATGAACCACAGGCTTCTAACACACTTCTGAGAGGCCTGTTGTCCACTCTGAGACTCTTTCCCATGGGTCTCTTTCCATCCCCACATTCTTAAAAGGTGTCCAGTTTCACGCATTGGAAACCCAAGGTCCAGAGAAGGAAGCAACCTGCAGGACACATGGGAGGGGAGGGGTAACAGAGCCCAGTTTGGAGAACATAGTTCAACGTCCTAGGCCTCTGTACCTGGTCTAAGTGCCCTCTTAATCTCCAGAAGGAGAGTGGGTGCCCTCCAAGGCCACCTCTGTTGTACTGCAAACCTCGTGCACCTTGTTGGGACCATCTGGGACACATCTAGACCGCCTGGGGTTCTCAGGGCCTGATCCACCAATGGCGCCAGTGAAAAAGCTGTCCTCACAGGGCCTGGGAGGAATTTTACAGGTGAGTGCCTCCTTGCTGCACCTAATGTCTCGCCCTGAGGCTCGTTCACTCCTGGCTGTACTTCCTCAGGGATTTGTGGGTCTCACCCTGGAGTCAAGCCTGTAGGGCCCAGGTCCTCCTACAGACTTAGCTGCCCACCTTTTTCTCTTCCTCCTTTCCAGGGGTGGTGCCAGGAGAGGGGGTGACTGGTGATGGCAGTGATCTACAGATCGAAAGGCAGCCCAGTTACCAGTACTGAGAAAGGCTAGAGCCACAGCCCAGGAAAGGGTAAACATCCCAAGAGGAGGTTCCTGATATCTGCCCAGCACCTGTTGCATGTCTGCCAACTATTGCATTCTGACTACTGCGAGATAGGTAGTCTATACAGACAAGGAAATTCAAGTTCAGGGAGGTGAAGACACCTGAGTCAGTAATGACACCCAAACAGTGAAATTTGCCCAAAGCCAAAGCCCCTTCTTTCTACCTTGCTGCCTCTAGAAGGGGGGAAAATCCTGGAAGGCTTCTTAGAAGAGGTGATGTGTAAACTGATCCTTGAAAAAGAGTGCAAAGAAACTTTACCCACCTACCCCGCCTACCCCACCCTCACCCAGAGAAGAAGGGAAAAGGCATAAAGACATTTTTGGCAGAGGAACTTTGTGAAGAAAGTCTGGGAGTGGAACAAAGGAGGCGAAAGGACTGTGGATGGAGCAGGAAATGGAGGTGATTCTATCTGAGAAGAGCCCTGAATATCAAGTGAGCAGGGTGAATGAGTCTTGAGGGTACCCTGGAAGGCCTGGGCCTCCAGCTGCCCATCTAGAAAAAGAAAGGATTGGACTGGTCAGCTGCAGGCTGTCCTAGAGCAAAACACCGTAACAGGAACGGTTCCAGTTCTTCCAGATTCCATCCGGACTGGCAGAGTGGGGTTTATCTGGGGCAGCTCCGGGGCCAAGGGTAATGTTTTGCTCCAGAGCCCAAGTTCAAGTGTGTGGTGATGGATCCCTGAGTCACTTGGTTCCCCTCCCTGGAGTCAGGGTCCAAGAGACAAGAAGGGTGATGGGTCGTAACCCTGGCTGTGCCCGTGAGGCCTGTTCCGAGCCTCAGTTTCCCTATCTGATTAATGGAAGGGATGTGCTGTGGGCTCCTTATCCCCCTCTGCTAAGCCTGGACTATAGAAAATCCCAAGACTTTCAAAGACCCCCATCTTGTGCCTGTACGGCCAGGCGAGGCCAGGACCTTGGGCTCAGGAGGGACCCCTGGAGGAGGCCAGGCAGTAGGAGGGTTGGGAGGTGAGATGTACGTTGGAGCGGGGCCTGTGGAAGTTGGGGTGTGGTTCCTGGACTCTGGAAGTTTAGAGCAATTACTTGTAGGGAGGACCAAAGAACAAAAGGCGGGAAGGGAGGAAGAGAAACAGAATGACAAGGACCTTGTAAGGGAACAGTCAGGCTACAGAGGTCCCTAGAGGGGAATTGGTTGTTTTTTTTTTTTTTTTTTTTGCCCCAGTACTGGGAATTGAACTCATGGCCTTGAACTTGCTAAGGCAAATGCTCTACCATTGGAACCACGCTCCCAATCTTTTTGCTTTTAGGTTATTTTTCAGATAGGGTCTCGTGCTTTTGCCCAGGCCCAGCCTCTGCGTGGATTCTTCTACCCACGTAGCTGGGACTACAGGCGCACAGCACCATGCCTGACTGAGAACTGGTTCTTGTTGTTATTGTCTAGATCCAAGGGTTATGACCTTCCTCCTGGGCACAGAACTTGGGGCTCCCAAGGTCGCAGTCAGAAGATCGAGGAGGATTGAGGACCTGTTTCTCAAACCAGTTTGGCAAGGCCATCACCTCCATAACGCCATCCAGCTTCTCTGGGCATCAGAGCCACACAAACTTCCGGTCTCAGAGGAGGGAAGGGGCCCTGACGTGCCCACCAGGCATCAATTGACTCCAGGATAACAGCCTCATAAACAAGGGGAGGCCTCTGAATGGGCCAGCCTGGACCTCTTAGGACTTCTAAGGGATCCCTGGTGCCTGGGGTGGGGGTGTCTAGGTTCATGGTGGGGGCACTGTGCAATTGTCACCTGGTTTCCAGTCACCCTTTGTGATCTTTGTGGTCGTTTTATCTGGTGCCCCAGATCCCGGCTTTCCAATTCCCTGTCTCTTCCTTGGGGCCTGGGGCACCCAGATATGGAAAAACAATAATAACTGGCACATGTTGAGTGCCTACTGTATACCATTCAATCACTTTTATTTACCTATTTATTTTGGCAGTACTGGGATTCGAACTCAGGGCCTCATGCTTTCAAGGCAGGCACTCTACCACTTGAGCCACTCCACCAGCTCTCCATTCAGCCCTTCACCACAGCCCTATGAAGTAGATGCTAAGATTATATCTGTTTTCAGATAAACAAACCAAGGTTCAGAGAGGGGAACTCCCAGGCCTGTACAGTGTCTCACGCCTGTAATCCTAGCTATTCGGGAGGCAGAAATCAGGAGGATTGAGGTTCAAAGCCAGCCTGGGCAAATAGTTTGCAAGACCCTCTCTCAAAAATACCCATCTCAAAAAAGGGCTGGTGGAGTGGCTCAAGGTTTAGGCCCTGAATTCAAACCCCAGTACTGCTCCCCACCACCCCTCCAAAAAAAAGGCATGCCTCCAGCAGGTGGAGGCCCCTTTGCAGGCTGCAGAGGACAGCGTCTGACTCTGAGCCCCTGTGCGGGCCTGGCCTCCCTGGGCCGGGCAGAAAGTGCTGAGGCTGCAGAAGGGGTTGCAAACCTTCCCAGAGGAGGCGGCCACGATGGGAGGGAGCGCTGAGCACCAGCCTCAGAGCCAAGTGTAGACGTGGCTGCTGCTGGACCAGCTGCAGGCGGGGTGGGGCCCAAACCCTCACCCAGCCTCCCAGCCACATTCCCAGTGAGTCGCCCGCCTGCCAGGCCCGGCCCTGTCCGCCCTTCTCACTCCCCATCTGGATTTGCGATGAGGACACTCAGCCTAATAATAGCCAGAGGCAATGATTGGAGCCACAGCTGGGGGTGCTCACCCTGGCCTCCACCTCAATAATAATAGAAAACGCTAATGAATATCAAGTTCAGTGCCAGGCACTGGGCTA